CGAGAAAATGTTGAAAATATTATCAACAGTCACACAACGTGGTTGAATAAAACTCTAAAAGAATCTTTCAAGGATGAATCGAGACTGTCAACCAATTATACTGGAAGGTGGGCGAAAATGAAGCAAGCTGAAGCTAATATAACGCGATGGGATACTGGTGTTGAACTAGGCTTGTTACATTTCATCGGAGAAAAAAGTGTTCAAGTGCCATCAAATTTTGTAAGAATAAATAAATATGTATTTTACTCGAATCATAGTCACATATCCCATGTAGCAAGCTGTAGTCATTTTGACGTCAATAGTTAGTGACTTTAAATATATGCGAAAATTATATGTACAAATGTATTATATAAATTTGACATGCAGATAATCTGAGCTTTGGTTATATAGACCTGGTTATATAAAAAATACGACCAAATTTTGCACGCGAAGGACATCGTCTAGCGGTACTCTTAGAAAAATAAATTCAAAGTTTTTCGTTAATGCAAATTAATTTTTATATTTTTCAACAAATTAGTATTTTTTGTTCAATTATTGATTCTAACACTTTCATTCTATTCTTGTTTTTACAGGTAACACATCCGAATAAATTTATAAAAAAATAATACATATCTCTCGTTTCGATATTAGTATACCTTCTAAATATTTTTATTAATTTTCTTCAAAATATATAGTTTTTCAGCATATTTCAGTGTATAATATTTTGCGTTACTTTTTTTTTAAGAAAGGATAAATTAATTTTTGTATGTGCTACAAAATTTATAATAAAAGGAACTTAACAGATAATACATGGCATCAATTCATCAATAAGGAAAATAAACTCAAGAAAAACAAAGTCTTTCAATGTAGACAGAACGATGATTTTATAAAATTAGATATTAAATAATTATAATACTTGATGATATTAATTTCTATATTGATAATAATATACAAAACAGTTACATAATTCGAAAATTTATATGAGCACTAATAATGACCTAATCTGAAATCGAAACATTTGCTGCGAATTAGCTGTTATACTTCTCTGAATATAATTTGATTTTGTTCTAACAGCTAATAATTTGTTTGTAATTTGTTTAATTTATTCTGTGGATTAATAATCAATTAACACTTCATGCTGTGTGTGTAACTTATCTTACCAGAATATATTTTATGACTTCTATTTTACATAATATTGATAAGAGATGCTGCTCGCTAAACAATATGACAAACAATTAATCAGAGTATATTGAATACGCGAAAAAAAAACATTTAATTTATTTATCGATTGTAAGATATTGTTGAGATTCAAGAAAGAAATTCAATTAAATTTACAGCATTCTGTATAATTAATAAAATTATTTTGTTATAATGTAGGCTATTCATCCACAATTATTAAAAAATCATGTCCAAAATCGTCTAAAAAAAATCGAAAACGGTAATGCATTGGATTGGTCGACTGCTGAAGCATTAGCCATTGGTTCTTTATTATATCAAGGATATAACGTAAGAATAAGTGGACAGGATGTGGGTCGTGGCACTTTTTCGCAGAGACACGCAATGCTGGTTGATCAATTTACAGGAGGTATACCTCGATATACAACTAAATACTAAACATTTACATAAAAATATTTGAATAATTTATAATTATTAATGTTATTATTTTTTGTTACGTACATGTCCATTAAAAGTACTATTATTATACAAATATAAATTTTCAGCTATTTTTATTCCGCTGAATTCAATGGTTAATGACCAAACTGGCAAACTAGAGATAGCCAATAGTATTCTATCTGAAGAAGCTGTACTAGGTTTCGAATATGGTATAAGTATAGCATCACCGTTTACGTTACCTATTTGGGAAGCTCAATTCGGAGATTTCTTCAATGGAGCACAAATCATTATTGATACATATATAACAAACGGAGAAGCAAAATGGATGCTGAGTAGTGGCCTAACAATGCTTTTACCACATGGATATGACGGTGCTGGTCCGGAACATAGTAGTTGTAGACTAGAAAGATTTTTACAATTAACAAACAGTAAGGAAAATGGTGTCGACGGTGATGATGTTAACATACATATTGCGAATCCCAGTGAACCATCACAATATTTCCACTTATTAAGAAGACAGGTGAGAGAAAGAATTCATTACTATGAAAAGAAAAAATTTAAATATTTGCGACAAATTTTTAAGTGGCAATTTAAATATTTAAATAGGATTTAAAATATCTCAAATTTATAGATGATAAGGGATTATCGAAAACCTCTGATCGTAGTAGCACCTAAAATTTTATTACGTCATTCGGCAGCAGTATCACCTTTGTCGGATTTTGACCTTCGAACGAGCTTTAAAGCTATTATCGGTATGTTATATTTCGTCTTTAGCTTTACTTCAGTATAAATTGCTAATACTGATCAAAAAATAAATTTCTTATTAATGCATATAGTGTATTACTATATACTGTACGTGATAATATTAGTGAAGTCATATTCACTATTACTATAAGCAAACATAAGAAAAACACTTAGAATAGAAATATAATGTTGAATGCGACAAATAGAAAAGGGTATGAAAAATAAAATTTAATTTCTAGATGCTGAAAGTAACTTCATTAAACGATACAATTAAAGATTCAAAATAGTTAACGGTATATGCAAATAGTAACAACACAAAGTGTCTATTGAGAATTTATAAAATTCAAAGGAAAGTACCATATAAAAATTAACGTTTCAGTTACCACTTCGGGTCATTTTTAGCATAAAAAAAATTAATTTAATGTACTAAATTAATTTTTCAAATTTTCTTTATATGTTTCTCACACTCCACACGATTGCAGCGAATCCTATATTCTTTTTGAAACATTTCTATATGTTCTTCCAAGAAAAATTATAGTATGATATTACAGAAATATTACTGAGATATTACATGTTGACAAACAACATTTGAAATATCAGTAATATGTAAATAAAATATGTACAATATACATATAAAATATACACAAATATATACTTTACAGGAGATGATAGAGTAGAAAAATGTAACGTTACTAAGATTATTTTAGTCAGTGGAAAACACTATTATGCACTTAACAACTATCGAGAAACTTCTGGAGACAAGAATGTAGCTATCATTAGAATAGAAAGTTTATGTCCATTTCCTATATATGAGTTACTAGAAGAAATTGCAAAATATAAACATGCGAAAAGTAAGTAGAAATATGTTATTATTAATTCAAATATTAAATATTATATAAAAAAATATATTAATATAAAAAATATGGATTTCTACATAAATTTCTACTTTCAGCTTTTATTTGGAGCCAAGAAGAACCACGAAATATGGGCGCATGGAGTTTTATTAAACCACGTTTTGAAAATTTGTGTGGACGACAAGTAAGTAATACTAAATTACAAAAATTAACAATATTAAATCTTATAGGAGAATTAAACGCGTCTGTGAGAAACCGATTAAACCGATTAAAACCGATGAGAAACATAATGATCAAGCTGAATCTTGGGTGCTTCTATAATTGCGTATGATTTATATATTACGTATGTAGGTTTTTAACTGCGTGCTGAAATTTTTTCAAACTTGAAACGCAAACTCTATTAAATCACCGCAATAATATCACGAGTTAAATTGTTAGTCAATCAAATTTTAGAATTAGAGAGAGTAAAATAATAAGCCAATTGTAACTTACGGATACAGTAATCAGCAGCTGACGCTCGCGGGGTACACCAGACGTACAAATTTTGGAATTCGAGGAAGAAGGAAGTGAAAAGTGCGTCGTTAAGAATGTTACACTGTAAGAAAGAGGATTTTATTTTTATTCTCTCCTATCCATTGTACGTTAGTATGCGATGCGCTCTCTCTCTCTCTCTCTCTCTCTCTTTCTCTCATTGCAATTCTTATGTTTACCATTTTATTCGCTCACGCGCTCTTTTTCTCTTTCTCCAATTGCGTTCTTTGTACGACTCCTATGTTCTTTCTTCTTTTCGCATGCGTTGAAGATATTTCAAATAATTGTGATTATTAATTTGATTTTTTTATGATGCGATTTCGCAATCAATTTTAACCCATATAATATTGTATGAGGTTTCGTGGAATTTACTTGAATTTACTCAATAAGCGCATTTGATTTCGCTCTTCGTTACACTGTAGTTTTATTGGTACGAATCGACAGTGGATCTTATTCTCATCGTTTTAATGCTCCAACATTAATATTCATTTATTGTACTTTAATTTTTGTATTAAAAAAATAAATTATAAATGCATATTTTATCATTTACTTTTTACGATATAATAACTTTATCATTTTCAGTTGAGATATTGTGGTCGAGAATCGATGGCATCACCAGCTGTTGGAGATGGACAAGTGCATCAACGAGAAGCTAATGAAGTTATTATTAAACCATTTACATTAAAATAAAAATATCAAAATGTTATTTTAATAAAATAATTGGAAATATAAATTCAAAAAATTACTTTAATAAATTTACAACATATTTCTACTATAACTAAATATGCACACAATAAAAAGATTTTTTGATGACAGAAGGAAATGTTATATATGTATATACAAAATATTATGGACATTATTTTTACTTTATTTAGCAACATACATTTTAGAAGTTAGAATTAAACATATATAGCGTCAAAAAGGATTCCTCTTATGAAATGATTTCAAAATATTTAAACCTCATTTAAAATTTATTTTTACAATACTTCGATTTTTTATACAAAAATCAAATAATAACTTATTAAAAAAATGGAATTAACAATAATATCTAATCCTGCACATTAATATTCGCTGTTTTTTTTTTACTCATAAGAAGCAATAACATAAACTGACAAATGTTCATAAATAGATGTTCACAAATTCTTAAATTAATCACATCATGTATTCTATTTTAGTGTTGCAACTGTATTTTTATTGCCTATTTTAAGTAAAATTTTATCCTTTTAACATATGTTTTTAAATAACAATATTAATAAAAGGATAATCTATTTATTCTTTCTAAAGAAAAACATCACTAATTCCCATTATTCAACATCAATTAATTGTCGCTTTTGTCTTCTGCTTTCAATTTTTCGTGTTCTCTTTGTACAAGAACTCGCAATTCCTCCTAAAATTATTTACATTTATACATTATTAATTCACATTCAAAACATGCATAAAATAATATAAAATAAACAATAGTAATAAAAATGTTTTACCCCCCAGCCAAGTTTGTCTGCTAGTAGTTGACAACCTGTATCACAATCACCCAACCAAGCTACGTCGCGTCCTCCGTGCGCGCTTTTGGCATCAAATACCAAACCCTGCCGTAATCCTAAGAAACGTGACAGACGATCTTGTATACCTACTTTTTCATTGTTGATGAGTAAACGAGGACAAGTATTTCGTACTCTTAAAAATAAAATTACATTTGAATTGCGTATATGTTCCTTTTCTGATCATTTTCATAGAATTTTAATATATACCTATCTATTAGCGATGCAAAAGGTTGTACTACTAAACTTGATCCCATAATAATTAAAAGATCAGCTTCTATGAAATCTCGATCAGCAAGTACTTGGAAGCGTTCGGGTAACATTTCACCAAAAAAGATTATGTCGGGTTTTACAACACCTTCATTGCACTCTTCACATTTTGGTATTACACCTTCTACTATTTTTTCTATCATTTGAAGTCACGTGTATTAGTATTTTATCAATTAATCGCTAATATCCTACTTTAAGTCTATCCAATAGTTCCAACGTTAACGAAAACAAAGAAGGATAAGAACTCATTAAATATAGATAAACGTTAAAACTTAATTGCATTGCGCTGCATACGTCGACATAGTTAACAATTATTCGTGAAAAGTCCAAAATTCTATACGAGTATTATTCTCAGATGGTTGAAAAATAGAACTCCAGATACGCATTGACATTGTAAACAGTACCGTACAACAAAATATAAATGTGTAGAAACGTATAATCGCAAAGTATTACAACACAATTTTCAGCGAGAGACTATTCCTTTCTTGCTTTTGTATTTACTTTATCAAAAATGTACGTATATTCATGTGATAAAACTCAAAAGTTGTTATATTTAATATTTAACATTATTAATACAGATTTGTTTTTATTTTATTTATTAATAAAAGTTAGCAAAACTATTTGAAAGTTGTTATAGAATCATTACCGATAACATATATCAAGACACAGAGAGATTATTGAAGCTGAATTTTCTTTCCTATAGTTAGCTAATATATATTTAATAGTATTTATATATCTCAAAATTAAAAAAATTTTAATTAACAATTTTTGGATATCTAAATAATATACAACGTAACACAACATGATAAACATACTTTTATATTATGTTGTACATTGTTTCTATTTATTATTTATTTTAAATAAATCTATTTAATGCAGAAAATATAGGAAAATATTATAGAAATGTACCTTTCATCCACGAAAATGTATATGGTGCTCGGCACTTAAGACAATGACCAGTATGAAATGTTCCATGAGCTTCCACTAGTTTATCAGGTGATAATCCAGCTATACGTTCTAGTGTATCAATATTCTGTGTATAATGTCGTAACAACAGACCTTTCTCCCACAGTAGACGAATAAAATAATGGCTTATTGTAGGTTTGAAGCCTTCTGGCAACAATTCCTTTGCAAGAGTAAAAAATGGTTCTGGATTCTTCATAAAGAAATCTAATTCAAAAATAGCTTGTGGATGCGGTAAATTATACTTATCTAATTTATGATAAAGTCCACTAGATGGAGACCGAAAATCTGGTATTCCAGCAGCTGTAAAAAAATATGTATGTATTTGTATATACACATTTGCTAATAAACGATGGAGATAGAATGGCACTAATAATGTCTGTCTAAACCAAAATTGGAAAATGTTATGTTTTCTATTAATTTTGTATTACTTTGTATAATAAACAATTTGATAATGTTACAATTTTTTATAACTAAATGCCAAAGTTGTGCTAAGGTTAAAAAAGTCAACTTAATGTTTATTGTAGTTATTAGTACTTATAAAAAATTGCAACGTTAACAAATTGTTTATTATAAAAAGTAATGAAAAAATAATAAAAAAAGAAAGTTTTCCAATGTTGTTTCGATTGCAGCTATAAAGATTGCTTGCAAAATTAAATGTTATATATATATTATATATATATATATATATATATATGATGCTATAATCTTGTTTCTTGCACTTTTTATTTTATCCATAATGTTAATTTTTATTATTACTGTACCTATTTTGTAGATACATATTTAAATATATAAAAAAGATGTTTATATTGCATTGCAATAATATATTATTGATATATATCTGCTATAGGAATTATATATATTCAAAGTTGCTGACATAGAACCATACCAGTACATTATATTTATCATTACAAATAATACTATATTTAATATTCTTGATATCTAAGTTACATGTGCTTTGCTAGGCCATCTTTAATGTATACTTACAGGTAGAGATTCCAGCACCTGCCATAGTAACAATTTTGCAATTGGCATTTTCTTTAATATATTCAACAATTCCATCTAAACTAAGTTTAGAAAGAACTAACTGCTGTGATTCATCATTCTGATCATTTGTTGACAAGTCAACAAGTCTTAATTTTTGAGCTAAATATCTACGTAATCTCTCCATTTCAGAATGATTTTCTACTTCTGATGATTCAGATAAAACGTTTTGTGTTTCCTCACTTTGGCTATCATCTAAAACAAATCAAAAATTGATCTCTACACATATATATATTTTAATTTAAAAAAATCTATAACAACCAAGTTTAAATATACTTAATAACTATACATATAAAATTTTCTTTTTATTGAAAGTTTAAGATAATTACTATTAGATTAATTTACATAAAATATGTCAAATGTAATACCGAGAAAAAACGATATAAAAATGTTTTAATAAAAAAAAGTATATATTTACATAATATTAATAAAAAATAAAATATTTTTTTACTCTTTATAATTGAAAAAAGACTGCAACACAAATTACGCACATGCTATTCTAAAAAATTACCTCCTTCATCTTTTTTAGACTCCTTGTCCATATTGTGACTCAATGTGATAATACGATTAACGTTTGTTCTGCAAAATGCGATTTGCCTAAGTATCGAGCATACATTCACATCACGGATGACACGTATCACGATAGAAATCTTATTCGATGAACTAAAATCTATAAAATACAATTACAGTTATTTCTGTTTCTGAATGCTATACACATTTATCACACATACGCAAATAAAAATATACATACATGTATATATATTTATATAAAATCATTATAATTCATTGTTTATTGTATACACATGAGATATATATATATATATATATACGTAATAATTTATTCAATAATTTAATGTATTATCATACGCTTTATGCGCGCACTATACACACACTTGTTTAATTCAATAGAGTGCACACTACAAGTACATATACACCTCGCCATAGCACTGCATAGCACACATCACGGACTTACCAATAAGATCTGTTCTTTTTTCTGTACTATCTTGGTATCGATCATGAAACTTTGGACTGCGCACAATGGAAGAACAGTTATTAGATAATTAATAGCGTTTTCTCTTGGCTGCACCAGTGTAGGGTGATTGCACCAGTTCATCTTTCTTCCTTTTCCCTTCTCCTGGAGAGAAAAGGAAGAAAGATGAACTAGTGCAAAAGTTCAGCAATAAAGAACAGACTTAGGCCGATATTTCATGTGTCGTACGACAAGGCTCTTCAAGTCTGTTTATTGGCTGTAAAACAGAGAGATTCTCGGATCTCTCTGTCCTATAGCCAATTAACATGCTTGAAAAGTTTGTCGACCGACACACGAAATACCGGGCTTATGCCTGTTTCCATCAATGCAGATTAACTTAATCTCGGTTTAACTTACTGTTAATCTTTTTCTAATTTTTAGAATTAGAAAAAGATGAAGAGCAAATTGAACCAAGATTAAAATTAATCTGCATTGGTGGAAATGGACATTACGGTCATTGTTGTAGAATAGGCTTTACGGAGAGTGTGTGCGGCCCCCTAGTGTTTCACAGGAAAGCCTGACATAATTGGACATAACCCCTCTCACATTTTTCTCTGACTGTTATTCGTTGTTCCTATCTTGCCCCCTCTTGTCTTTTCTTTAAAAATTTGCTAACACAGATTGTCAAAACTTTGAAAACAATGATGTTGAACATGCTAAAGTGCCATCTTACTAATCACAGTTTCCGTCAGTTGATAAAATTGTCAGTTTACTCTTCGTTAAAATTATATTCATCTACTTCGATAGTCGCTATGTCCAATAAGGTATACACATGACAATCTTTAACAAAAGTTTTGCAATCTTGTTTTACACATACACACACGCACACATACATACACACATATAGCTTATATAATACTTAATTTTACATAATTTCGTATACTAATATTTTTAATTTTGTTTACGTTTCATGTTATTTTTATTAATGATTTGTAATAATATATATTTATATTGTAGAAATATTAAATATATAATTTTTTATATCTTATACCTGTATGTATGTTTTACTTACATCTTGCTTATCATGCTTATTAACATACTGAGAATGGCAGATTCCTACAATCTGTTGACTGTCAGTCTGTTTTAGTCTTTCTGCTAGTGTGTTACTGATTACATTTAACATCTTACGTAATCCTGATAAAATGGTGAATATATTTTAGCTGTTCTCTTATATTGTATGACAGGATAAAGTAGTGTTTCTATCATCATTTCTAACATTTCTAATATAAAAATGAAACTGAGAAATAAAACTGTCTGGTAAAAGTTATATGGTATCACAAACAATCGTCATATATCATTGCTATATTTGTTTTCTAGATAAAATAACTTTCCATATATTTGAAGACCAAATTTGTTTCTCCAAATTATACACCAATATACATACAACTCACACACATATGAACACATGCATATATACATATATATAGACTGGAGACCACTCAATCTAATATCCTGAATATTTCGTTTATCTTTGATGATACAAAACAATGTTTCAAATAAAAGTGAAACGGTTTGGAGGAGCACTTTGGTCTAATTGTTTTTTTTTCTAGGTAAAAACGTTAAAAAATATGAAGGTCACCATTATTTTCTTAAATAGAATTATGATTTTTTTTTTTTTTACATAATGTGATTCCTTTAATTATTTGATATATAAAACTTTTCATGCAGAATTTTTAATTTATTTCAATAAAAAAAAACTATATGGTTCAAATTAATAAGTAAATAAAAATGATCTTTAGATTTTAGGAAAATAAAATCTGAAGGTTATCTATTGAAAACAGTCATATCTATTCTACTTTGTATATGATGCAACATTTGTTATAAATTTTACTGTCACAAAATATATTAATGATGGTATAATTATCTTATCTTATATAATAAAAATATATATATATATACACATGACATACATATAAATACCTACATTACACACAAAAATACTTAATACATATAAAATTTAATATATTTTAATGTTATCAATATAAATTTAATTGCATATTCTGTGTGTACAGGAAGAAGAATGTAAAAATTATAGAATTGAAAGAGATACATTTGGAGAATTAAAAGTCCCTGCAAACAAATATTATGGTGCACAAACTCTTAGAGCAATGATGAACTTTCCAATTGGTGATACATTCGAACGTATGCCTGTAAGCAATAATGATAAATTAAACTATTTGTGTGTTTTTTTTTAATTAATACATTCTTTCTTCCTCTCTCCCTCCCATCTCTCTTTCTCTCTCTCTCCCTCTCCCTCTCTCTTGTCTTGTATCTGAAATATCTAATGATTATTTTTATAGTGCAGGCAAATAATAGCTATGGGTATATTAAAAAAAGCTGCTGCAGAAGTAAATAAAGAATATAACTTGGATCCCAAAGTTGCCGATGCTATTAGTAAGGCAGCAGATGATGTAATAAGTGGAAAGTTATATAATGATCACTTTCCTTTAATAATTTGGCAAACTGGATCTGGCACACAAACTAACATGAATGTTAATGAGGTTAAATATTATATTAATTTTAACTGCATATCAAACTATAATATATAATATAATCATCCTAATATAATTATTTGATATAATATTTAAAATATATTAAAAATGTTTAGGTTATTGCCAATCGTGCAATTGAGATACTTGGTGGTGAACTTGGCTCAAAAAAACCTGTGCATCCAAATGATCATGTTAATATGTCACAGAGTAGCAATGATACATTTCCAACAGCTATGCATATAGCTATTGCCTTAGAGATCCACAAAATATTAATTCCAGGCTTAGAAGAACTACATAAAGCATTAAAAGAAAAATCGGACGAATGGAAAAATATTATAAAAATTGGTAGAACACATACCCAAGATGCAGTACCATTGACATTGGGTCAAGAATTTTCAGGTTTATATATTTATGCAAACTACGTGGGTGATTAAATATGAACGAAATTTTTGTGTTGAATACAAATAAACATAGACATATTTATAACAGGTGGAGTGTCTGCACATGTCCTGAGTATATTGCGTCTACGAAGAAAAAACCACGATCCGTACATTTTACGATCAAATTGGAGGACTACAGCGTATTATTTAATGCCACATGTATTATTGACCTTGTTTACACCGAGCACTCTCTTAATATGCATATTAACTAGAAACTTTAATAAATTATCTTAATTTTGGCAATATGTGTAAACATATACACGATAAGGTTATTTAAATAATAGATGTATATTGTACCAGCTTAGTATACTTTTTTAAAAATGTATTACCGAAATTAAGATAATTTAATAGAAAGTTACTACTTGATATGCATATCAAGTGCATAGTATAAAACATAAGACATTGTTATACCCTTGAGTTGCTCAAGAGTACAACAATAATACATGCGGCACTAAATAACGCGTTGAGTCTCCCAATCTAATCATAAAATGTGTGGATTATGGTCTTTTTCTCTGGACACGTATACAGGATGTTTGCATATTGCAAACATTGTGTTAAATAAAAGTAAAAAGATAAAGTAAAGGGCAATTCGAGAGTCGTCGATAATTATAAATAAAATGTTATCACATATAAAAGATTAGAAATATAATTAAAAAGTTCTCTTAATTATATTTCTAATCTTTTATATGTGATCTTTTATATTTTTTATTTATAATTATCGACTCTCAAATTGCCCTTTACTTTATTTTATTCTTTTATTGTTTTGACATCGAGAGCTTTGTTTATTAGTATTTAATTTTAAATAAGTTTTAAATACATCAGTCTTGTGTACAATAGGTCTATATTTTATTTATGTACTAGATTATACTAAAAGTGTACACCAGTCAGTCATAAAAGACAGCCCTAGGATGCATTTTGTTTCCACGCTCACACATTATAAGCATCAGTTTCATCCTTGTTATTTATAAAATATTAAAGAACGAACGATGCTTTACAAGCGTAGTAAGCCTGTAATGGGACACATCCCCTAACATTAAAATATTTTGCAGGATATGTTACACAAATCGAATATGGTATTAAAAGAGTAAAAGATACACTTCCAAGATTGTATCAATTAGCTTTGGGTGGTACAGCAGTTGGAACTGGATTGAATACCCGAAAAGGCTTTTCAGAAAAAGCAGTTGCAAAAATTGCACAATTTACTGGTTTACCCTTTGTCAGTGCTCCAAATAAATTTGAAGCTCTGGCTGCGCACGATGCAATAGTCGAAGTACATGGTGCTTTTAATACAGTAGCTGTTTCTCTAATGAAAGTAAGTATTGGCACATAACTATTTAAAAATGTATTTATAACTTGCTGATCATTTATGACATTTATGTCCTTCTAACAGCTTATGTATATAATTTGCACAGATCGCAAATGACATTAGATTCCTTGGAAGTGGGCCTAGATGTGGTTTGGGAGAATTATCTCTCCCAGAAAATGAACCTGGTAGTTCTATTATGCCTGGGAAAGTAAATCCTACACAAACTGAATCAATGACCATGGTGTGTAGTCAAGTAATGGGAAATCATGTGGCAATAAGTATAAGTGGTAGTAATGGGCACTTTGAACTTAATGTTTTTAAACCAATTATGGTTGCAAACGCTTTGAGATCTGCAAGATTGTTAGGCGATGCTTGCTCTTCGTTTGCAAAAAATTGTGTTGTTGGCATTGCTCCAAATATTGATAATTTAAAAAGGAACGTGAATGAAAGTTTGATGCTTGTCACAGCATTAAATCCACATATTGGTTATGATAAGGTTTGTATAAATTTGTTTTTTAGAATAAATATGGAAATAGAAGTTTTTTTATAGTATATACAGTAGCGTGCAAAAGTTTCTGATCAATGACATTTTGTATTTTAATTTATAAAGAAAACTGATAAAATTTTAATCATTATCTGGTGTTAGTACAAGATGTAATGAAATTTTGTACTAATGCCTGATAATGATAAAAATGCAATCAAACGTTTTTTTATAAATTAAAATACAAAGTGTCACTGATCAGAAACTTTTGCACGGCACTGTATACAAAGTGAGACATCTAAAACATGTCTCCGTCGAAAGTATTCCACTTTCAATTGAAACATTTTTTCGTATCATTAAACACAAACGAGTTATTTAGGTGACCTGTTTTAAATGCCTCGTCCTGTATATAAATTATATATATATAAAAGTTCTACGGTTTTTGTTAGCTCAAAATCTTACTATCTATAATATCTTCGTCAAAAATAAACAAAATTTAAATTTAAAAAAGGTGGTAATTATGTTAATTTAGATAAATGATAACATAGGTCAAAGTCATTGGAAGATAGTCCCTTATACTGCATAATTAACTTTTTTTTTAATTTAAATTTTTGTTTATCTTTTAATTGAAATCAATTGCTTGAAATCTTTATTTTCAAAAGATTTTTATAATTTTATAGTTCATGTGAGATTTTACATACAGAAAAGTATCAGCTGAGAAAAGGGAAACTTTTTCTCACTTTATAAGTTTATCATGTACCAAAAAAATTTGCGAAATTTATCAATTATCTAACGTGAAAGCTTAAAGTTTTTCAAAAAAATTTGTTTTAAAAAATTGTTCCTATAATTTTTTATTCCTGAGTTATTCGCTAATTAAATAAAGGTATATTTTGATTTTAATTGTTTATAATGATTTTAACTCTGTCTTAAAAATCATCGTACCACAATTGAAAAATCAGATTTTTAAAGCTGAAATTTTGCTCTATTGAATGATATATATACATATATCGTTAATTTTTTAAATATACAATATACAATTTTAAGCTAATAAAATACTACAGAACTTTTCCTCCAACCCAGTAAATAAGAATTTAAATTTATAATTGTTTTATAGGCTGCTATAATTGCAAAATATGCACACAAGGAAAAACTTACATTAAAAGAATCGGCGTTAAAACATGGAATAACGGCGGAACAATTCGATCAATGGGTTAGACCCGAACAAATGCTTGGACCGAAATAATTTCTACGTTAGAAAAATATTTAATAGAAATATACATGAATATATATATGTATATATATATATATATATTTATTTAGTTTCTCTATTTTATCTCTTCTATATTCTAAATTTTTCTTCATTTTAAGCTGTTTTTCTGTATAAAATTTCCTTCGTTTTACTCTCTTACATTTGTCACGTAATTAAAGAACCTTGGAATGGAAAAGTAAGTAAACGACAATATTGCACATTTTGATTTTATATACATATAATACGTTCTACAGATTGACTGAAATATTGGATATACTTAACATAAATAATACTTTATGTATTTTGGTGTATCTGATTTTCGATAGTATGAAATCATGTTATTTCCATCGCTATTCTCGAAAACGCAATTAGCCGAGCAATTAGCATTTTCTAATAGCACATTTGTAGTATCATTTTGCGTCCATATTGGATTCTAACATTCCTGGGCAATTTCTGATTGGTTATTACTTTAGACGACTGTGCATCCATAAAAACGATACGTCTGTCTTTTTACATCATTGTTTTAAATTGTTCATTTTTTATTTTTTTTATCGTAATAGTCCTCAATTAGCTTAGCTTCGTCCAGATTTTCTATTGGAATATACGAACCGATACGATACGGGCAACTGTTCATGCAAAGGTTTGTTCGGTAAATTTAGTTCATAATATGACCAACCGATGATAAAGCAGTGAATGCGCTATCCACTGCATAAACGAATGCACCCACATGTGCACATACTGTAGTCAAAGGAACACATCCTTTGTATCTATAGAAATCTTGTGATCTATGGTAGAGAGCTCGCATGATTATGCTGGTACTTTTGTCATCGACTGTACGCGGGTATTTAGCAATTCGATTGACAGAGGTAGACAGTACTGGCAGGAGCAGGTAGAAGGAAGACAATTATCCGACAGTATTTATTGTGCTCTTTCACAGTATGGTTACGCGATTAGTGCCGGTCTCCGCAAGTATAGTAAAATAAAATTGTTTCGTGATGGTAATCGTCATCAGATATATAAATGACAGGCAATAAGTTATTACCCGAGCGAATTGCGGTAAGTTTTGATCGCTTGATAATTATTCAATATTTTGACTCGCGGTGAATATGTTCTGTCAATGTGACAGTTTTGTTCCCCAATTTGATGGTGTTGCTAATGGACACAGTTTGAACGACATATTTTTTTTTTTTTTTTTTTACCAAAGTAACTAAACATAAACAAATTTAACAGTTCAGTATTATGTATATTCAAGTTTTATAATAACTACTGAGTTTGTCGTAAAAAATATTGTTTCTTATGTTACACTCTTATCTTCACCGATCTTACATCTTGATTTTCGAGGTTTGCACGCGAGCAATACTAATGTTGATAATGTGTTAGCATTGATTTCTTTTTTATACTTTCCTTATACTTTAGTTGGTGTTCAAGAAACGCACATAAGTCTTACAAAATCAATATTATTCGTTATTATCTTAAAGTGTATTTTACATAATCAAACGAATTCATGTTTCTCTCGTATTTTTCATAATTTGTCTTTCAGTGAAATAGATTTAAAATTTTTTTAAAATACAAAGCACATTAAATTTAAAAGACAGTAATATAAAAATTTACCTTTTCATATCAGTTTTTTTAGTTTACTGGTAATTCAAAAATGAAATTTTACCATTGATTAAGGATGTTCGATATTTTAAAATAACGAAAAAAATTATTGATTATTCTAAGGATGCGTCCTATTTAACATTTCGCCATAAAAATATTTACAACGGCTGTAATATGTTATCATTTTGATCCTTTGCTCATTAAACTTAAACATATAAATTATAAAATTTATATATAACATGCATATTTTTTATATTAACTGATTTATTTCATTATTTTGTGCATAAAGGTATCGAGATACAGTTATAAAAAACAATAGCTCATATATTTGATATTAAAATATGTTAAAATATAAAATATAAAATTTCTCGTAATACTCTCTCATAAACTGTTGATTTCAAACTATTAATTTTGATAAACGTATTTTAATATTTTTATATGTAGAATAACTAGAAAAATTATATTAAGTAAAGAAAAAATATCATCTATTCTATTTAAAAAATAATAACTTTTATGTGACTTTGAAAAATCGATTTTTTTAAAATTAATTTTACCGTTATGTATCTATCCTTCTCCAAATCATTATTATACAACTTTTGTTGGTATATTTTGATGCCAGACTCATAGTCAGTTTTTGAGATATTAGCATTGTTCAAAATGGAACACTATATAAACAATAAATATAAACAGGTTTATATTAAACAGTTTAGTAGAGTGTTTCAAGTTTGAAAAAAATTGACGCACAATTAAAAATCTATGTATAATATCAATTCACACGCAATTATATAGAAGCACTCAAGATCCAATTTGACCATTATGGGTTGTTTTCTCATCGGATTTCATTGATTTATCATAAATTCTCACGATTCCTATAAGATATTGATTATTTTTTAAATCTTATTTTAAAATTTTATGAAGCAGTAAATGTTAATTTTATCTTTAGGGTTTGATTGATCAATTTTCGGTAGAATGTATTAATTAAACGAAAATAGAAAAGTTCATGAAATATTACTGTTACGTTAATTATTTTGCGTACGTAGTATATCCAAGAGAGGTATTCTCTCTAATTTCTGTTTTTTTTCCAAACTTTGCGCAAAAAAGAAGATTCTTTCTGAAAAAGTTGATGGAAATTTATACGTTTCTAATATTATTAAAAATTTAACATGTGAATATGTGCATTATAAATTATTTGAAATGTAATTAAATCGTTCTACATTTAAATATTTATTTCTGGATGATATTTTAATTCTATTTTTGCGCGATTTTCCGATAAATTTAGGTTCAGCATTTTTAAATATAGTTTGTAATAAAGAATGTTCGCATTCATCTGTTCACCAAATGCGCCTATTATTAGACATCCTGCACGCAAACGTGCATGGCATACAAATGTAAATGCACACCCGCACGACGTTGATTGAAACCTTGAGTGTCAGAGTAAAGGATTATCTTGGCAAAGAAGCATTATTGATTGATGAAATGCTTTATGGTTGCTTAACATTAGCTAACGAGATCAATCGAGAAATGAAAGGAACATAGGATATTCAACATTATTATTACTTCTCCCCATTTTCGATTTAGACATTTCTAAGTCGAACATATAGATCTTGATAAAAGGATTTCGATTGCCTACGTCTCAATTGAAGACCACCAATCTCAAATTAATTAAATTTTTTATATAGGGGTCGCTCTTAATATTGATCAAAAATTTCAAGCATGACGTTATAAAAGCTCAATTTTTATGATTATAAAACCCTATATTGCTCAAAAATATTTTATAGAAATTATTATTATATGTTACAAAAAAGACATTTTTACGTAAGATCGCTTTTATACACATATATAATACGTGTTATATGTGTATGCGTGTTTGCGTGCGTGTGCATATACATATACATAGAATAAGTCAAAAGTCTGAATATAGTCTATTTCACAAATAAAGCATATATAAATATTTCACACAAAAGGGTTTAAAAAGATTCGTTGGAGATGATACATATAAAAAAACAGACTCAATAAACAAGATGATATGGAGCACTTAACAGATTATCTCCTCATCTGGATTTTCTATTCCTCATTTGATGATGAAATCTCCACTAATTAAAGATAGTCAGGTACAGGAGAATAATTGTTTTACACTATGTACTATTATTGTAAAATATAAGAAAAATTGTATGTGTCATAGAATTAAGTGTTTATCTTGATGTTATCAATGAATAATGTCTTATTTCTGCTATATATATGCAATATTAAATACTATTCTATACCTCCCCCTGCTTAGGAATGTTCAACTTTCTACATGAAACGAGTATTACTCCACCTCCTCGCTGTCAAAGGGCGTCTGATTTTCCAAGTTTCATCCCATCTCCCTCCTGTGTCAAAGTCAAAATCCCTTCGGTAGGGCGGAGGTAAGGTGAGACTCTCTTCGCATGAAAAGTCGTGTGCTCTTTGGCAGGGGTGGAGGTGGGGTGAAAATCGCTTCGTGTGGAAAGTCGTGTGCCACGTAGCAGGGAAGAAGGTGGGATAGAAGTCGCTTCGCGTGAAAAGTCGAGTCGTATGCTCTATAGTAGAAGGTAGGGTGGAAGTTGCTCGCGTGGAAAGTCGTACTCTCTTAGGGGCTGCGCAGAATAAAAAGGGAACAGGCAACAGAGAAGAGAGAATAAGAATTTCAACCTATCAGAAATCATGTACTATGGAATACACTGTTTATTCCACAGTATATGATTTCTGATAGGTTGAAATTCTTATTCTCTGTTCTCTGTTCCCTGTTGATCCTTTTATTCTGTGTAGCCCCTTAATCGGTTTACCTCATATATCCTCCTTGTTTAGAATCATCCGACTTTCCACGCATAGTAATGAATAGTTATATATATATCAACTTTTATTGTTAATAATTTTTTAAACGATGACTAAAACTAGTTGGAAGTTATTCAGGATCATGACCTTAACAACATATGTCAAAATCAAGGTCATCAGCAGTTGCTCCCCTTTTTTGCAGTTTTATGTTTTTCGTTGAGCTTTCTCTGAGTTATACAACTTGAATTTGATATTTAAAAATTTACCTAACTCAAGTAATATATACTGAAATATTAGTAGTTTTAATTTCTAAAAAAAAGAATCCAAATGGGTTTTCTGTTCTAAGTAAAGAGTTAAATAAGATAATGCAATTTTGTGACATAATATTTTGAAGAAGAACGCGTATATGATTTAATGTATTCATTGTCGCGGTGTTGAAATCGTGTAAGCGATGTTTGATATAGATTTTCAGCTGATCAGAAAAAAATTATTGATAATGAATATTGGAAATTTTTTATTATTAACTGTAGACGTTTTGCACTACAAAAATGAAAATTTGTAATTTTTTTATTGCACAGTAAACTAACAAATCGCTAGTTTACAAACGGTTTGTAAACAATGTGTCTAGTGACTGCTGGCAACGGCGAACGCGCGCTTTGCTGGGCTTGTTGTGCGCTTACATTAGGCGACAGGCTGGATAAATTTGATTATTTTCATCAACTAATAATTCGTTAACTAATGCGAAAAATGCAAAATGTTAGAGAACTTTTCTTGAAATTATTCATTCTGCCTCTATCCGAAAGTTTTATATAATTATCAGATAACCCTGTGTATTATACATCATATTAATATAATACTCATATTATCGTTATATGCTATTTCTTTGTTCATATACAACAATTTTAGATTTTACATATGATCTTCTGTTTTATTTCAGATAAATTAAGATGTCCCAAAGAAAATATACCAATATAACAGGAAGATTGGACGGAAAACGTTCGAAAAAACTCATGTCATCTTCCAGTTTGTCTGGTATGTTACAGTTATCCAGTAACAACGAAGAAACATTAGAGGCCTTGGTACATAAATCTCACAAACCTGATAATTTAGAAAAGTGAGTTACTTTTGTGTCACGTATGCAATACGTTTATTAAAAAACTATTGAAAACTATTTCTTATAATTATTCGATTATCATTAAAAACTCGATATTTGTCACGTGCGCACATGCGTGCATGTGCAATGTGCATGTTTGTATATTAATCAAGTTTAAAATTGTATATTATGATATTTTCTTTCCTGTTACCCTTTATTTCAATCTTTTTAAAAAATTATTTAATACTATGTTTTCGTTCTTTTGTCTCTTCAGTGAATAGCTTCATAATATGAATTATTCATAATTCATAATTCATAATACTTATAGAAACAGTGTCGTGTTGATTGTTTATAGCAGATTTAGCTACAATTTTTGTTAGTTCTAGCAGAGTTCTATGTTTTAGAATCATTTTTAAACAGAATTTCGGTCGCTATGTATTTTTTTATTAATTTTTTAATCTTTGATTCATCAGTTAATAAAAAATACGTCTTTTGGAACCTTGTGTATCTAGTTCCATTTTTTCTCTATATTAGAAGTCCATCAATTTTCTGGTTATATAATATACATTGTGTTTTTTAAAGTTTATTGATACACTGAGAATCTCATTTTGTTGAATCAACTAATCTCTCTTGTTTGGATATGGCCAAACATATTCTTGGTTGATGCAGTAAAACAAAAAATTTGATTATTGTGACATTTTACACGTTCTTTTACTTTCTGAGAATATACTAATAAAATGTTACAATATCATAATTTTTTACTTTAACTGAATTATTTTATTATATCAAGAACTCGTTTATGTCCAAACATTCATGTAGTTGATTCAACCAAATGGAATTCTCAGTGTAGGAATGAGTAATATCTCATTTGTATATAGAAATATTTGATTTTGTTATTCGTAAAAATATGGCAGCGATAAGAATTATATATGTATCTAGTTATGCGTTATATTTTATTAATACCTATTTATAGCACAACGAACCCAAGAAATGCAATAAACAACGAATGGTTATTGAATGGACCAAATGGAAGCAAGATACCCATTTTACGCTTTAAGTAAGTTGATATAAGAATTTATTATAAGATATCTTTAATTATCTTTATTTTTAAAACACAGAAAAATTTAAATAATCATATTGTGCTTGTTTTTCAGATGTTCTGCTTTAGCCATGCCACCAGAAAACCCACCTGCGAAACAGCTACATATGACTTATAAGATCTTGCAAACTGACACTAAACTCATCAATCTTCTATTGCAATCACATGGTTTAATAGAGGTATAGTTTTAGTATATCGTATTATACAGTTTATATACATTTATATACTGTAAGAGCTAGGCTAAGAAAAAAATATCAGGCGCTCCATCGGTGCCGAGACTTAAACCGAGACCTCGAGTTGTCCATATTAGCAAGCAACTGCCTCGCCGCGGAGCCACACAGTCCAATGGCAGGAACTTAGTTTATACCTTACAATATTAAGTATATCAAATATACTTAATATTTTTAATTCTTTGCGTTATCAGTCATATAAAGAGGTGCGTGTCATTTTTGCGTATTATCAAGTATATCAATTGAAACAGTGATTTGATTGATATATTGTTATACTTGACAATTGTTGTATGAAAATGTAATGAATGAAACAGTATCAAATAGTATCGTTAGAGACTATTGTATAGATTAATGCAAATTATTTTCAGGAGGTGATCATAGAATGATTTTTGATGGATGAAAAGGGGACTTACTAATAATATAAAACTAGTTGATAAAACAGTTAATTCTAATTATTTTTCTATATTAAAATTTAAAAAAATGTTAATTAAGTCGATTAAATAAATTTTGAATATTTCGAAAACTAAGCATTTCTATAATCCCACATTTATGGATTTGACTACATTTAGTTAGTACTACATATTTGTAAAATTTCATCAAAATCGGTCTTAGGTAGTATACGGAAATCTTGCTCAATTCTCAATATTGAGAAATATCTCCCAACAGGAGAAAACATTTTTTTTATTTTATCTTTACAAATAAAAATTGCTATATCTTTGCTTTTAGGTACCTATGAATGAAACAGATTTTAACATATTATGGATGGGAAGTCATCCAAAACCGGACGTTTTGCGAAATTTGATGCCTTATCAAAAAATAAACCATTTTCCTAGGTAAAAAAGACTGAATTCCTAAGAAATAGTTCTCATAATTTAACAATAAGATAATACTCTACAGATGTAAAAAGTCATAAAAAATTGTCTTAGGTCTTACGAGATTACCCGAAAAGATCGTCTTTATAAAAATATCGAAGCTATGCAAAGGAGTAAGGGCCTTCGAAATCTCGATTTTATACCTCAAACATTTTTACTGCCTACAGAAGCCAGAGAGTTGATTTCGGCGCATTTCAGATATAGAGGGCCTTGGATCGTTAAGCCTAAAGCCAGTTCGCGAGGTCGTGGCATTTACATTGTCAATAATGTAAGGACACAATTCAGTATTTTATAAATTTTTTACATTATTTAAACTGTCGTTAAGTAAAAACAATCTTATATAAATATATTAAGAAATGATAATAAAAACTTTATAATAATTATAATTATTTATAACAGTTATTTCGGTAATTATATGAATTAATGAACGCTGATGACCTTGTTCTTGATATATATATATATATATATATATGTTGTCAAGGTCATGACTATAAATAACATTAATGTACAAACATCTCTTAGCTTCTGTACTCTTAGTAAGATTATCAATTACGTATTATTTATAATCAATATACAGTTTTTATATTAATTTTTCATTAATCTTATTATTATACTTATAGAGCGTAATTATACATATTTGACATGGTTGTATATTTTATGTGCCATTAACATATCACATTATTTATTAGTAATATATTCACAGAATAATTTTCCATTTTATGAGTGTTGTGTGTTTAGTATGTTATTTAAATCGAAAAATGATTGAATTTACTCTTATTCTTTTTATAATAATATTACGTAATATTATAATAATATTACAATTAGTTAATAGTAAACATATAAACAAAAATGTTGATATAGAATATACTTTTGATGCTCAGATTACATCAAATTATACTATTTGTATTAAATATAAAAAATTCTGTTTTCTAAAACTTATAATTTTGCGGAGTATGTAATACTATATTAGCTACTTATCCAATTTTCTTATCATACTGTTATAGCCTGAGAAGATCCTAACAGATGAATCGGTTATTGTGGCGCAATACATAAATAATCCACTTTTAATCGATGGACATAAATGCGATTTACGTCTTTACGTGGCTGTAACGAATTACGATCCCCTATTAATTTATTTATATGAGGAAGGTTTAGTGAGATTTGCCGCTGTTAAATATGATGGCGGAAGTGAATATGTTTGGAATCCTTGCATGCATCTTTGCAACTATAGTATAAACAAATTCCATGTGGATTATGTAAAGTAAGTTATAACAAATTTAGTTAATATTTATTGCATTAAGAACACAACTTTGGTTTAAACATATTTTTGATTGGATCTTATCCTGCGGAGATAAAAAGGGTGGTTTGAGACACTGTGCGTGTGTGCGTGCGTGCGTGCGTGCGTGCGTGCGTGCGTGCGTGCGTGCGTGCGTGCGTGCGTGCGTGTGTGTGTGTGTGTGTGTGTGTGTAAAATGTGTATTAGGATAAAATTATTTATATTGATAAAAGATACATATATCATACTTTCTATTTATATAAAGTAATAACTTAAATAATTAAGTACTTTAATTTTTTAGTACACGGTTGCTTGTTTTGTCCTGCCAAAAAGTTTCAAATTATTCTTGTATTATAATACAAATGATAGTGTTATCTTTGTTATTTTACATCAAGAAAATATTGCAATTTATGTAATAGTTTAAATGAAAGAGTAGATATAAATAATATAAATAAGAAATAAGAATGGAATAACAAAAAAAAAATAGTAAAAAAGAAAAGACAAAGAAATAAAGTGAAATTTTTTTAATTTTAAATAAATTATATGAAATATATTATCGAATAAACAAAATTTTACAAAGGAACTAGACATAAAAATAATCTAATAATTATATCTAGAAGTGAAGATCCTGATGCCGAGGATGTAGGACATAAATGGACATTGTCGGCATTACTTAGGCATTTACGCTCAATGGGTCAAGATACGGAATCGCTTATGCAGCGAATAGAAGATATTATTATAAAGTCGATTCTTGCTACTGCATCTGGAATCGTCAGCGGTTTAAAGCAATTCGTGAAATATCCCGAGACATGTTTCGGTAATAATTTATCTTAAATAGTATTTTCGATGTTTTTTTAAATATAATATATAGGTAATTAAAATATGGTAACAAATTTTGGATTTAAGCTCTCCACGCCAAAACATATGAAAAAAATTTATATGAACATATGTCCGCAAACTCATTGTCACCGAAATACAGCTCAAAATGTTTATTAATATAGGAGAAAATAAAAAAAGTAATATTTATATTATTATAATATTTAACATTGTTTATATTTTGAATTTCTAATTATAATAAATGTTCAAATTGATCTTTATTTGATTTAATATATGCTTTGATACATCGGATGCTTTGATACATGGATATCATATTCTTTCAAAGATCACGAGACAATTGCGAATGATCACAAACATTAAAGGTGTTTACGCAGCACCTTCATAGACAATTGGAACTTCATAAACTAAGGACTTTTAAGTATTCCCACAGATTAAAAAAATCTAAAGGATTTAGATCGTGAGGTTTATGCATAATACTTAAAGATTTTGAGCTATGTCTCAGTAACAGTGGATTTGCAGATGATGTTCACATGAATTTTTTTTTATGTTTTGGGAGCTAAACTCCTAAGTTTGTTATCTTATTTAGTTAGACCCTGCGTAAATATAACTAAAAAAATTCACACGATATGTGTAAATACCGATTTAAAAAAATTATGTAAATTCAACAAACAAAAAAACGATTGTTTTATGATAATATCATTATTTGATATTATAGAAAGATATAAAATAGAAATATAATATTTTATATGTATATCACACATGTATGTTTTCTAGAGCTATTTGGCTTCGATATACTGATTGACGATATGCTGAAGCCGTGGCTATTGGAAGTAAATTTAACCCCCTCGTTGGGATGTGATTCACCACTAGATGTTAGACTCAAGTCAGCTTTAATGACAGATTTGCTTACTCTCGTTGGCATAGCTGCTGTCGATCCAATTCTGCGCTCTCAAAATTTAAGTCGTGCTGCCATAAATTCCGATAAAAAGATAACTAATGTAAGCTATTTTGCTTTTATTTTTCTTAAATTATTGATATTTATCTTCCATTTATAGGAGATATATTCATTAAATATTAAATAATTATTTAAAACTTAGATTTGTTTATACAGGGTAATTCAAAATAATCTTTTGTTCTAAAGGAGACATATTCCTGACCGTATACTGAGATAATTTTTTTTTTGGCAAAAATTTGTCCGAAGCTTAGTTTTTAAATTATAAAGAGAAATAGTTAGCGTAATTACAAGTCAAATATGGAAGGTAAGCAGAGGGTACGCGCTCACCGATGCACATGGGAATTGTGCGGCCTTATGCCGGTATTATGCTAGCGATTAGAGATTGCGTTTGCGATTAGATGTTTTTCAATCACACTAGCAACGATCAGCGATTACATTTCATCAGGTATTTTCTACAATGCATGTGGAATGATGTGGAGAAAAACTATAAAAAAGGAATTTATATTATTTTTATACTTGTAAACATTAATTACAGTTTCGCAGATATATATTAAATATATTTCAATGTATCTTTTCCAAGAGATTGTTTTCTATTTTCACGTTTCGATATATAAATTAGTCATATGCTCATATGACTACAAAACCATTTTATGATCGATTGCGTTTGCATCTACGATTACAAAAAATAGACGGATGTCCAGGAATCGTGAATCACAATCGCTAGTATCTCTTTTCTGATTAGTCGAAAGGCAATCGCAGGCGCAAACGCGAAAACAGATGCAATCTTTAATCGCTAGTGTGATACCGGTAGTGTTAGGCCGGAATCAGACAATGCATTGAAGATTGAGATTGAAGATTGAAAGATTGAAATTTGGCTAATTAAGATAATAGGAGGTAAAATTCCTTTATCCTCATTGATCAAATTTCAATTTTCAATTTTCAATCTTAATTTTCAATGTGTAGTCTGTGATTCCGGCCTAAAGATTATCAGCTTGGGTAAGCGTAACAACGTTCGGTCTGTGGTCTACTATCTTGATGCACGACAGATAGCATTTATTGCATTAGCATTATTTTGTTACTTAGTTGTTGAAATTGTAACGAAAAACTGTAATTAAAGTTGTAATTATATGCTTTCCGTGCAGAATACAGTTATTTATGATCTACTCTTATACAACGAGGACCATGCAAAATACATTTATACGCCTGGGTCATAGGTTGGTTCTCAAGCACTCGACGTGATTCTAACTACAAAATATTGCGCACAAAGAGGATGCTACAAACCGCGTTAGGCAAGAACAGTTTAGTTTATTTATTCTTGCATGCGCAAGTGTCGGTTTTCGCGATCTTCTTTTGATTCCTTTGCTGTTGTGTTATTATTGTAAAGTGCTGTCTGCCAGACAGTTCGCTTAGAGATATCGGTAACATTCCAAAATGTTCTATTCTGATATACGGAAGGTGTGCAATTGCAAAAAAAAAGAATGGAGGGAATTTGAACGGTTGTCACAATGTTCTGGGAAATTATGAGGCAGATATGAAAGTACATACATTTCTTTTACAGTTTTGTTTAAATTCAAAAAAAGGGGTAAAAAATGACCTAAAAAATGAGTAAGGATTTTTCCTTTTACTACAAATCTCTTTATTAAATATTTTTAATTGTTAATGCTAATACTGAAAATTTATAGTTCATATATATATACTGCAGATTTTTTTTTAGTATTGGCAGTAACTATTGGAACATAGTCTAGATACAATATTAAAATTTTTATTTAAATAGAATATTTCTATTTACATATAATAAAAAATAATGTGATCTGTTGGATAGATACGAAGATAATAGAGAATTAAAGTAATGGTGAAAGTAACAGTTGAATTTGTTATTGTTAATGTAAAAATATAACAATGTGTTATCATTACTGTTACAAACATAAAAGAGTAATAATAATCGTTATCAAAAAAAAATAACGAAGGGGGGAGGGTAATAATATTACACGTAACGCCTTACTTTTCAATCATGAATTGATTTTCTATTCTTAAATAAGAGAAACAGGAATGAACAAGAATGAAATGTTTTATTTGATATTAAAGTAAGAGATATTAAAAACATTAAATGTTAAGAATAATATTAGCTGACTATGAACAAAACATTGTTTTCTTTTTTTAGTATAGAAGAGTGCAATCTGCGGAAACATTACCTCAAGGAAGGAAGAATATTAGAACTAATAAAAGTAAAGCAGGTTTAAATTTAGAGCAACAACGAATAGTAGCGTCTGCAAAAGCACAATTTGAGAGAAGAGGCGGATTTGTTAGGATATTTCCAAGTCCGAAATCTTGGGAAATCTACTCACAGTACTTAGGTAAATATAATATTTCTTTGATAATAAATTTAAATATGTAGTACAGAAAAGTGTTAATATTTTTCGAATTCAATATGCCCTAATAAGATGACCTTTTTTTTATCCATTCTATGTCTTAGATCCAATTACAGGTGCACCAATGATATCAGATCCGCTAGGTCCAAGGAGATTACCACAACACATTAATACGAACCATAATCTAATGTTGCATGAACAATTGTTTCCTGCAGCTAATCGTATTACTGGCTATATTATTTCAGAAGTTACATTAGATAGATTATCTAGGTATGAGGACACAAATTCTTGTTTTACGTAATTATATTAGCCACATTTTTGTTCACAAAACTATTATTTTTTGTATAAAAACTCACAAATTTGATAATTTTTTAATATTATATATTCTAATGATTTTGATCATATATTATTAATACTTTCCTATTAACCAATAATCCTTTTTTTACTTTTTTAATACTAGAGGCCGGATATGATAAACTTAAATCTACATCCGATTGCCACAAGATATTATCAAAATAAAAATTACAAAATTTGCTTTAAATGATTCTATTTATAACTATTTGTAGTTTAAAATATCTAAGTTTACCTGTTGTAAATTCAAATAGAGAAAAAATATGATATTATGAACAAGAAGGTTACTAAAATATAAAAAAAATATAAATTTATGATATACTTTGATACATTTTTAAAGAAATTAATTGAATATTTTAGTATTCAACACAATTAACATATTTTTAATTAAATATTTGAGAGCCAAATAGGAGAGAAAGGAGGAAAGTCACTTGATGGCTCATCATAGATCGATTTTTTTTGGAGAAACGGCAAAATAAAAATTCATTCTAACATTTTACCAGATGTGTACTGTAGTGTGTAGTTCAGGTGCACGTAATTTTATTTATTATAGTTTTTCAAGAACAAATTTGCAAAACCGACTCTGTACGCGCCTTCGCAGCTTCATAAAAAAACGCTAATAAGATCTTATGACACATTATTAATTAAATAATAAAAGATAAAATATTAACATGAAAACATCAGCGAATAAATATTATTTTTTTATTAATGTTTTTAATATATTTAAGAGCGAAATTATAAAATTCGAATCTTTAGCTAGACTTCATAGCTTCGTAAAATGTAAGTCAAAATAAGCCTCGTGGCAAAATATTTCTTTTACAAAAAAAAAATACGAGTATATCGTCTAATAGAGTGCAGATATGTAGCTGTCCTACAAATAAGGTGTAAATGAGTTGTAGTAAATTCATCATTCCTATAGGCCCTTAAATATAATAAAATTACTTAAACGTTTTTGCATGAAAAATAACTATACACTTTTATATAAAAATACAATTTAATAATTCTTTTTTGTGTTATATTTTTTAAGCAATTGTACTCTTTCATTTGGTTTTTAAGTTAAACCCGATTTTAATTCTATTGAATGAAACTTGATTAATTCGAATTTAAAATATAAGAAGATACCAAGAGACGTGGTAGCGTCTCTCATCAAATGTATTTTTGAAGTTTAATACGTTAAAAACGTCCTTTTTATGTATTATTATGAAAGAGATATTATCATGTCATGAAAGAGACGCTACAGCGTATCTTTTATGTAAATAGAAAGGACTTATATAACAAAAAATTGTTTAAATAAATTGATATTATAAAAATATATATATATTGAGGAAGAATATAGATTTTTACATTTAAAATGAAATAATAATTATGTTCGTTAGCGCATTAGTAGTATGTGAGCAGCCATAGAGCATCAAAACGAACCCCCTTCACTTCTCGCTAATTCGCGCTAGAAACGTGGCCAGACCTGTTACTTAGACAAATGATAAGTTGGGAAGAATTGGGTGTAATGACGTTTTTAATAGTGCATTCAAGATTTTCGCCAACTTTTCATGCAAAGCGAGATCCATCCCATTTGTTTTGACGCTCCATGACTGCTCACATACTATCTACCTAGGGTGAGTTCTGTTTTACGCATAATGCGCATAATGTATCGTTTATCCTTGTTGTCCACCAAATGTTAAACAAGGACAATTGATGCATTATGCGCATCATACGCGAAACGGAACGCATCTCTACATTTGATGCATAAGCATGAATAATTTTGAAAAACTTGCTCCTATTTATTGCATCTTTTCTGTATTTTTTTCTGCACCTCTTTTACATTTTTCTACACTTATTTTTCTGTATTTTTTTTACACATTTTCCGCACTTTTTCAATACTTTTTATGTATTTTTTCCTACATCATCTTTACACTTTTTCTGCATTTCTCTCGCACCTTTCTTGCATTTCTTCCCCACCATTTCCACACCTCTTTCACATCTGCAGTCCTGCACTTTCGTATTCCTTCGGTACTTCTTCCACACATCTGTGAACCCCTTCACAACATTTCAGCACATCTTCCGCACCATTTTCGCATCTTATCTGTCTACGTACATTATTTATTTATATATCTATTTATTTACGTTATTTATTGATATGTCGATGTTACCCATCCACTTGTCGTTGTTATCTATTTCACCTTCTGACGTCATCTATTAACTTATTTATGATCTTTATTTGGGTATTTATGGTATTTATTGCGTACTATTTATTTAATCATATTATGTAATCAGATTAATTTTTTTTCCCCACATTTTTGGCACCTTTTGCGCATCTTTTCCACATTTTTTAATTCTATTCTATAAGTGTACAACAAATACATAACAAAAAAATTGCATCTAATAAAATAAACTAAATTAACAATTAATTCATAGACTCCTTTTAATTCAATAATGTAATAATAAATTACATACAATAAGGACTTTAGGAGCCGTAAGATATAAGTAGTAGTGCAAAAATATCGACGTGTCAGACAATATTTAGGAACCTGAACGTTTCAGCTCATATTTGAATCATCTCCAGATCCATAGGAAACATATTGCGTTTGTCATCTAAGAATTTTCTGCCGAGGATGGCTCTAATGTGAGCCGAAACATTTGGGTTGCTAATTATTGTTATTTCTGATACGTCGATTTTTTGCGTTATTATATCTTAACATCATTAATTTTTTATTACCTTTATTGTCATTATTATAATATTATATTTTAAATGTGAATACAAAATGTATTAACAACAACTTAGCAAAAATTCGCGACTTATAATATGTAGCAAGAAAATTCTCGAAAAATTATGTAAAAAAGTTATTTGTAATTGTTTATTATCTAATAAGTAATTTTTGAGACATTAAGAATTTAAATATGATCATTTTCATATTATGTTTAAACATCCATCTGTTTATGAGTTGCAATAATATTAGTGACGGTTAGTGAGCGCTCACCAATAGTTATAGGTGACCGTAAACGTAATTGACCATATTAGAAGATATTACTTAAAAAAAAAATAAAAATTTACAATTATCTACTTTTATTTAATTTTTTGAAAACTTATAATATTTTGAGTCGTACATTTTGGGCTATTTTGTGTATTGAGTATTTATTTTTTCAAAATTTTCATACAAGAAGCTGAACGTTATTAAAAAACATGAATTATCATTATAAAAAAATAACAAAAAGTGAATCTGGATACTGTAAAAATAGATTATGATGCATTGTTATAAATTTCTTTGTACAGCTATAATCCTGTAAAAGTTAATGATTGATCATTTTATTATAGGTATGAAAGATATGAAAGAGCGTTGATGAAAGGCTACAAACAGAGCTTGAACAGTGTGAATAACAAAGAAAATGTAGATATAGATATACATAAATATAAAAGCCAAGTAATGCAATTAATGCAAGAAGGCAGTAAGCTTAGGTTTGTTATTAAAATTCATATGAGAAATATCAATTAGTTAATGATTCAAATATTTTGAGTATTGATTGATTAATTTATCTGTTTTATTATTTTTTCCATTTGCATAAAAATATCGTATGAATAATATTTCAGTTCTGGTGAAGCGAGGAAAGCCTTTGGTTTATATCTAGGTTACATATTAAGGAAAATATCACAGCCTAACGCAGATCCAGGATGTTGCGATCTTGTTATGAAGTTTCTCCAACATTCATCTTGCAGTTTGAGAACACCATTTTTATTTACGGTATATAAGTGTAATTAATATAATATAATTAATATAATGAGCATAAGTAAAAACATTATATCTTGTTATATAGTAAAGTAATTTATTTAAAAAATGCTAAGGCACTTATCAGTGTGACAAAGGATTAAGTGAAATAAGTACAATAAAATTACCTTGAAAGATAAGCTTAAGAAATAGCCTCAATAGTTAAAGTAGGTTATAGTGAATAAATACGCTATATATGTATATATATAAATATGAAAATAGTTATACATCATTCAGATATAATGCAAGATATAAAAACAAGAGCATACTCGTATCACTGCATATCTCTACTATTTTTATCTCAGCTTATGTCATACATGCAATGAAAAAGGATATGAAAATTATTTGGCAAAAACGAAAAAAATAAAAATTCAATAAAATATAGGAAATATATAAAAATAAAAATATATTTACATAAAAATATTTATAAATAAAAAAATATATAAATAGTTAATATAAATTTAGTAACCTTGGTAGAAATTTAGATAAAGCGTTAATGGCTCTTGCTTGGATGCCACACTATCATAACAAGAGTTAGTATAAATTGTATTAGTTATGTTCTTACATTAACTGTCTTTTGTGTTGAATATTGCTTAGTTAGCATAAATATTCAACATTATTAAGGTCTATCTAAGATACGTAAAGAGCATAAAAAATTGTTAAATTGTTAGTCAATTTAAGTTGTAATATTACTGCGATAGTTTAGTCGAGTTTGCGTTTCACACGTTTGAAAAAAAATTTGGCGCAGTTAAAATCTACATACGTAATATATAAATTCACACGCAATTATTGAAACACCCAAGTAAAGTTAGCTTTACTATTACGACCTGTTTCTTATTGATTTTAATTCTCATGGTCCTATAAAATTTTATATTTTAAGTCGCATTGATTGAATTATTTGTTTGAATTAATATAATGTTTTTCATAGTTACCATGCAGTAAGTTAAGCGATAAAGACCGAGCTGCTGTCACTGCAAAGCAACTTTCCGATTTTTTACATCTGTATAACAGAGAAACAGATCTTTACGAAGACACCGTAGATCGGCCTCATACTGTTCCTAATGAACTCTTCCAAAAGTTTTTAGCTGCTGCGAGGTATGCGTATGTTAAGCAATTTTTAAAACAGTTCTATTCCACTGTGAAATTATGTGAGAGAAAAACCGCCCATTAACATACATAACAGTATCATTATTTAATTGTATCATATTTTAGAACATAGGATATAATAGATGCACAAAAAATTATGCTTATTAAGAACGTCTAATTTCACAACAAATTAAGATATGTGTAATACGATTACATTACAGCGAACAAGATCTTGATGATGTGCTAATACTGCAAACTCGTCTTTATAAGTGCGCTCACAGTTTCTTGGGAAGAAATGGCTTCGCTGGCAATCTACGCGGTGCAAATCTTCTTGGATTTTTACCGCATATTACATCGCGAGTGTATTCCAATGCTGCTGCAACAGAACAGTGCAGATGTAATATTTCAATCAATAGGTAATTTAATTATTACATTTAACGAATTTATTATATATTTTGGGAGAGAGAGAGAGAGAGAGGGGGGGAGGGAGGGAGGGAAAGAGAAAAAGAGGAGGAGGAGAGGAGAAAAAAGAGGAAAGAAAAAAACTGTAATTTCTAATTTATTATCTCCTTTATGAAAAAAAAACTTATTATCGTTATTAGTGCAATTATAATTTCTAATTTATTATCTCCTTTATGAAAAAAAAACTTAGTATCTTATTATCGCTATTAGTGCAATTTGAGAACTAATTTTATAAATGCTCCCATTTACTCATCCAAAGCTATATCTCTACACAGCATGCTCGACTTCTGCAATTGTACGGGAACTGCTCCTTCGATAACCCACGAACACTTATAATGTTAAAAAAAAAAATGGACGAATAGAGTTGTAACATATCTAATAAAAAAATATTACAAAAAAGAAACACATATAAAAAAAATTAATGTTAAATACAAATATAATTATAATGTACAAATGAAAACAACTTATAATATCATACTCGTATTGTCTTCTTATATATATATTAAAATCCTTTATGTAAAAAATGATAATTGAAAATCTGTCACGCTACAGCGACCGTACACGTATATGAAAAACTAGGAAAATGCTATAGTATGCCAGAATAGAATTGTCAAATCTCTTAATCCATTTTTTGAAGATTTGGCAAGACAATCTGTCAATTCCGGAGATTAATTATTATAAGCTTTAATACAAATCTCGAATGATATTTCGCAGGAAAAAATTTAGAGCCTGCATTAATGTGAAAAATTAGCTGAAAGCAGTAATCAAGCAATGTGGAGGCAACACGCGTATTGAAATTTACACATACACAGAAAAATCCATCCATAATCTCGCCGTAGTACATATCCGATAATTCAGGTAATGTCAATGTATATATAAAAAATGCGAGAGTTACTTTAAAGTGCTGTAACTTTGTGAAAAAAATCGCAGCAAATTAAATTAAAGGGAAAAGTTCGAACTTTATGCTGCAAATAACATTCTCCAAAAAATTTTACAAGGTCCGTCAAACTTTGCAATTTTTAATATAACAAACATACCCTCTTATTTTGAGAGGTATAGTGATAGAGGTCCATTAAACTTAAAATCAGGTTATAGCGTTTTGAAGTAGAGATTTCAAGCATATTAATTAATAAATATTAAATGATTTTGTACGACATATTAATTAATAAAGTTCTTATCCTACAATAATTTTTCATAAAGTTATCGTCAATCAAAGTTGGTCAACTTTTGCTCAAAATGTAATTTTTATGTGTAATTTTTATATACAGTATATACTTTACAAATATTATATTTTTATACATTGAATGTGAGATAAATCATGATGAAATAAGACAGAGCGCAGCTTTATTATTTGAGCCAATCAGAGTCAATCCGCAGTTTACGTCACGTATAGCGCTACATTCAAATGTGAAAATATATTAATCTTATATATATACATATATATATATAAATCTTTTTTTTATTGATTTTTAATTTATAAAACAATTTTAATAAATATACCGAATAGGGGACCTCCCGTCAATGACCTTGCTATATGTTGTGAAGGTCATGACTTTAAGTGACCTCCAACAAGTTTTAGCCGTCGCTTGTCCTTCGTTGAAAAGTTATTAAGAAAAACAGTTTGAAAAATAACGTTTTATTTCAGCTACAGCATTAAACAGTATAATTATGGAAATCGTGCGCAGAGAGGGTGATGAGAGTCGCAGGGGGGGGAGGGAGGAAGTGGGATGTATCTATGTACATATACGTGAAATAAGGAGTTTTATAGTATCTATGTATATATGCATATTATATGCTGAAATATTTTTCTTATTTAAAACCTCTACTTGAATTTCCAATCCAATATGACGAATCACATTACCATGCGATAAGATGGAGAAACATTTGTAGTATCGTAGTATTCGTAATTATTCGATTCCTCTGTGACCGCAAGATTTTAAACTATATGGATTACTTAAAAAATTAATAAGAAATTAAAAAAACTCATTACTCACAGTGTTCACAGCTCACTCTCTTTCTTGAAACTTGATCGTGATTTTTACAACACAACTCAAGTTGTATAACCTTTATACAATATATCATCGTATCATCATATAACTTCTTCTCATAAGTCAGAATGGAAAATGTTAATGATTAATGCACGCTTTTTCAATTGCTTATTTTTACTCACTCTCTCGATGTGTATTGTTGTACTTCATTATTATTTAATATTACTGAAACTTCTCCTTTTTTCTTCTCTTTCTTCTTTTTCTTCTTCTTCTATGTTTAGTTGGCCCGGGTCCTCGCAGACAAGGTAAACATGGCCAGTCATATCCAAGACTCCTCCAACTTTCTACAGGCTTAGAAAAGATAGACGAAAGCTTTAAAAACAAGAGAAAACACCATCCCACACTACCTCAGTCCACACCGGATCCCTAATATCCCCGGTGTATCTAGGGGGGAGAAGGAGACAAGAGGAAAAAGGAATTAAAGCAACAGGCAACAAAGCTTAATGGACGGTTTTTTAACATTGGAAAAATATCAATGGGATATAAGGGAAAGATTTTTTTAAGGTAATTACAAAACGAAGCAAATTTGTTGCGAGTAAGGGTACAATAGAATATGCGATTAGCGTTCTGTCTAGAATCCCCGCAGGGGCAACTTGTTATTATTGAGATACTTAGATCGATTTTACCGATCCCATTGTTTTCAATCGATTAAGACACTACCGCACAGATCACAGCACTTGCTGCTGTATTGCTAGCGCTTCTTGCACAAAAAAGTGTCAAAGGGTTATGAAAGTAAAGCACAGAATATCTGATGATAATGACGATGAGATTTATAAACCGAAATCGCGAAAATCGCACACATCAAAACTTTCTATCGCAATATCTCTGCTCGTAGAGCACGTAGAGAAAAAAAATAAAGACATCCTTCATCACATATTTTGAGCAAAAGCTATCGATTGAACCTATTTAGAACTTGATCGGTTTAATTCTTATTATCGTGGTCTGGAAAAACTCGATGTAAAGATACACAGCCGATTTTGCGCTGATATGTTGCTGCACGAGCTCCTAGTACGAGACACTACCGTGTCTCCTGATAAATTTTCTAAAATACCTCGTAAGTCTAAGAAGCATTGCAACTATTTAAATATTGCGGGCAGTGGAAAGTCTTGAACAACTTTAATCTTCATCGGCGAAGGTTTAACGTAACCTTTCTCTTTTACCCGACCTGAAAATTCAACACACTTCTACAAAAACTTGCATTACTTCTAGTTAATATTAAGCCATTATTTTCTGTAATCGTTAAAGTTTTTGTTAATCTGAAAAGCGCATCCTCCTTATCGAAACCTGGCACGATTACATTCTCCATATAATTAAATACTATCTATTACAAGTGCTAATTGCACAAGTAACAATCGAGTTATGGATGATTTAACGATTGAAAGAATAAATAAAATTGGGATGAAAAGAAATAATAATACAGCGAAACAGAAGCATCGACTAAGCACCAACGAGAGATTAGTTAAAGACGGATGATTTTTTTGGAAGTTTGCATGACTATTACAATTTTGGTGATTAAAAGTAAGAAACTAACACAATACGGTACTAATTTCATGATTTATTAATTTTGTAAACATATATATATACGTTTAAAACTCATTAATAATACTTGAATTTTATTTAAAAATTTTTGACTATCTTTTTTGAACATGGCTTGATCTTTTCATTTTTATGATATGATTTTTTCGGATATCACTTACTTTTTAGAGTACAAATACATCACAAATATATATAAAAAAATGATTAAAAAATATTAGTATCTATATAACGAAAGAGAATGAAATATGGTAAAAGAGAGGGGTGGTGGGGGGAGAGGGAGGGAAGGAGGTGCGGTGGGTCGAAGATGGTGGAGGTGTGAGTGAAAGGTGAGAGGGGATGGTAAAAAGTTTTAATACGGCCTTGTGAATGCGGACAGAGAAGGAGATTCTTAATTTTTTCATTAAAATGAAAAATTTTCAGAGAAGAAGGAGATTCTTAATTTTTCATTAAAATCATCACTTTTCGACCGCTTGTATCTCTAGAACGGCTTGACCAATTTAAAATTTTTTTGGCTCAAATTACTCGTGGGAATGCCGCCTTTCAGGACATATAACGTCCGATTCAAAATTGTTTATATTTTAGTAGTTATGCATCCCCGAAAAATGGACTTCGGTGGTTCGGGATAAGAGACTTATAGTCTTTCAGTTTTTAAACATGACCGGAGACACTACCGCATCTCCTGATAAAATATTATAACGTTACAAGTATTAGCATATTTATTATTTATACTGCACTTACATATAATAAAAAAAATCATGAATTTAATAACGTGTTATCCAAATATTTGTGTTAATAATTTATCTCCAGACCCACAGGGCCCCATTGATAGTTAAATTTGCCCAGTATCGATTTTAATAGTATTTACACTGAGAGAAAAAAATGGTTGCAAGTACTATAATTTAACTATAATTTATATTTATTTTTTTTGGGTCAACTATATACAAATTTATAATTGTTTTAACCATGCATATTATGACTATTTTAACATCGAAATATAATTGTCATAGTTATGACATGCATTAAGCTTTTCTTTATTATGTAAATAATAGCAAATGTTAAAAAAATAGTTATAATACATTCGCTATATTTGCATTTATTATGTAAGATAATTTTTATATTTACCATTTTTATTTTTTACTATACTCGCATTAATAGTTCAGATTATCATAATTTATAGTACAATTTTTTCATATTTGAGAAAACTATATCATATAAAATTATTATTATTAATATTATAGCAGTAATAACCTGAAAAATGGACCTTTTAATCATAACTTTTTAATCATGCAATGACAAATACTAAATATGTATTTTTCTCTTTGTGTATATATTGTCGAAAAATTAGAATTTTTTGTCTACAGTTATCATCTCTATTATTAAATTCGTCGATAATGTTAAAATCACAGTTTTAAATAAAAATCAAGTATTATTAAATCGGTGCCTTGAATAAAAAGAATAATATATGAAGAATCTTGGACTCGACCCGGTGATCGGTACATATAATAGAATCTGGTCACCGTAATCTCGACCGATTACCGGAACACTGACGGGTATGTACTGATTCAGTAATGGTGACCTAATAAATATAAGCAAGAGAACTTACGTGGGCAGGTTTATTTGAAAATTGTTACGTCTTGTGTATTTAAGAAGATCCGGAAAAATGTACGCGGAGTTTGGTGGAATGTACTAAAGAGAAATCATCTTAAGCGAATAAAAGATGTATTTTGTAAAGTATTATAATACAGAATAAATGTGAACATTATTATTATAATCCTCGCTTTCATCTATGGTTGTCCAAAACTCAGTGCCGTAAAGATACGGTACAACAAATCTGGTGGCAGTGGTGGGATACATCACATGTTAGGGCCGAGTAGCAGCAGCTTGTAAATAAAATGGATCCATTAAAAGGTGACAATTTGCAACAGAAGAAGAATTAGCGGATCTCCATGAAACAAATACCCGATATAGTAGCTGAGGACGCCGATAATAGCTTTAATCTGACAATGAGATGCGCAACCTACTGCAAAGGTGACTCAAGCTACAAGGCTATCAATTTTAACTACCAATTTTTTACACCCTACATATAAAGGTAAAAAATTTATGCATATAGAAAAGTATCGATGTGAAGTCTATAATTTTCTTAGTAAAGATTAAATATGGAAGACTAAGAGTAAGGAGATTACGTTGGAAGTTTGATATTTATCATTATAATAAGTACACACAAATATCATTAAATATTTGTCACATTGATAATAAACTTGATATTTTGTAAATAAAATTTATGTTTATTTATAAGTGTATATTTGTAATATATTGTTCTTACTAATGTTTTCTTTTTTTATATTGTATATTTTCATATTTTTATAAAATAAACTTACATTATTTTCTTTTTAATTATATGTATACTTACAATTTGATTTTGCCAATGTTTCAATGACACTAGCCATGGTTCCACTAAGAACTTGTGTTCCAAATTTGATATGCATTTTCTTAATTTTGTCTGCAATTATTTGTTTCCCGCTGTAATTTTTTTAAATGTGGTCGAATTGTATTAATTTTTTGATCCATTGTCCATGCCGTTTTTATTATTGTCTCATGATGCTATTAATTATATATTTTGTCCGATTTATTGCCTTTTCTTCTGACTTAGATTCTTTATTTATAGATATATTCCTTATTACCTTTAATAAAATGTGGGGGATCATATAATGGAATAATCTCATTGTCTTTAACTTCAAAAGTTTGACCTATTAGCAAATAGATGAAAACAAATTAAAATTGTTGCAACGTGTTTCAAATATAAAATAGATATAATAAATAACTTACATCTTGTTTTATTTTGAAAATTCTATTTTATGTCAGAGAGAATGTAATAATAAATCTTTTATCGCTAATATGTTCGATGAGCCTTGATCGCATATAGTTGCAACAATTTGAAAACCTGCATTCACTATTTCTTTTATGTCTTTAATGCAACAAATTATGTATTATAATTACGGAGTCTTTGTTTATCACAAAAATTATATGAAATTGGCATTTTCCAGCCAGAATTTAATTTCCGCATCATAAAAACCATGATCTGCGATTTTTCTCGTGCTATTATTGTCCTAATCTGCAAGACTACATATTATATCTTTTTGAACATCATATGTATACATATATATAAGTTTAGATTGTATAGATATTACGTCCTATATAAGAATACACACTTTATCTTTTATTGACATTTTGAGCTATATTTTTCAAATGTTTTATGGTAAAAGAATTTAATCCGGGGGATAGAGGTATCTTATGCAACACTAATTGCAATTGTTGTATATGTGTGTGTGATGGAATTTAAAAATATTTCTTAAACTGTTGTATGTGCTTGCTTTCCCATACAACTTTTGTAGTTTTATACAACTTTAATGAGAACATTTTTTGTTTTGCATTATATCGTTGTGTCTAGAGAGAACCTAGAGAGAATAAAACCTTATTATTATTTTATAAAAATAAACAACTTATAACTGTAAAACTACAATAGATAATGAATTAATATAATGCTTCTATATTATTAATTAGATATAATGTGATACAATGTGATTTCATATTTTTTACAAAATCTACTCAATTTGTAAAAGAATGCTTCGACAGTTTCATATAGTCTGGCGTATAATAAAATTTTGTTTTATAATATTAGTATACACTATTGTAAATATTACTTTTCTAAATCCTCCATCAAGTTCAAATTGATTATTTTTCTCAATGTCGTGCCAGCGTCCGGTGTCAAATCGTATCCTACGATAACCGACATATTGTCCCAATGCATTTGTTGCATTGCTGAATTGCGAAAGACGGACAATAATGGAACGTATTGCTGCACATATAATAAAAATTAAAGATACATACAAAGTAAAGTAATAACGATCGTACAATATTAGATTAATGCAAGAAGACTTATCACATATTTTTACTATTTTTTTAATATATAATCGGTAATATATAATAATATGTAATATAATCGGTAATATGTAATAACATTTAATCCTTCATAACATGCCTAAAGAGTAAGGCTAAGAGTTATCGAAATAAAAAATTCATTTTAGAAGGGATGAACAATTATTTATGTCTTCTAATCGAAATTTCAAGATAAATGTTAACCTTTTTTTATAAACAAATGTCAAATATCGTTAAAAAACTATTTTTTATATATTAAACTTTGATTATCTTGGAAATCTGACGTGCTAGAATTTTTTCGCTTGCGGCATCGTTTTCAGCGTCCAATAAAAGTTTATAAGAGACACATAGTCTGGTTCAAAATAATTTTTTAATGTAAACTAATGTGAGTCATTCTTCTGTGAGGATTAAAATTGTTATTAAAATCAAAATCAAATTATCCGAAATACGTTTTTTAAAATGTATTATATGTATTGAAATTCTTCAAGAATATATCATTAATTAAATTCTCTCTAATGATAACAATAAAACCAAAATTGTATAATTTTGTTTATAAACAAAATCACTTAAAAGTAATATCATTAATGATATGAATTTTTTTTATTTAATAAGTTTTGTGCGTGCGTGTGTGTGTGTGTGTGTGTGTGTGTGTGATATAAGATTATCTCATAAAGGGTTTCTTGTATTAATCTAATAATAAAAAATATATATTTAGTAGTACCTGAAACCATTTCACATTTTCCATCAGTTGGTGACATAACTTTAGAGGTGCTGGTTGCTGAAATGGATCGGGATCATCTACCAATCCTGCAAAACTAACAGAAAATTAATCGATAAAGCATACATGACATTTATTTACTTTTATATAAGGACAAAAACTGTTTGTGATATACAGGATGTCACAGGATGGAGTGGACAAATATAATTTCGATATTCGCTTCAAAAGAAAAAAAACTGATTTTTTTTTAAAGGAATTTTTTTCTTATAAAGTTTATCCCTTTAAAGTGAGTTAGGGTACGTATATAGAAATGTGTCCCTTATTTTTGTCTAAGAAACAACTAACTCAAAACTCATCAAAATCAGAGAAGGATAATTGGATTTTTATTGTAAAAAAAAAAAAACAGGCCAGTACCAATCAGAGAATTTTACTGATTTCGGCATTAACGATTCTTTGAATTCGCTGAAGAGATTGTAGTATCTTTTAAAACAATGAAAAATGTTATTAAATGTAAAGTTTGTTGTTGGTATATTTATTCGATAATACTTGGGCTGTCAAATTTAAAAAATATAATTTAAGTTATCTACATATAAATTTACAAATAAGAATCAATTTGCAATAAATTGTAAAATTTTACAACCTGTATGGATAATTGATTGCGAGCTGCATCTTGATTCTTGTCTTATATTGTTTGTTAATTTTGGTAAAGTCGGTTAAGTATTGATTAAGTTTGTTCTCAATATGTTGAACGTCAAGATACTCGAAGGGACCATCCAACCAAATTCCTCGATCCCTTTGCCACTGATAGCCTCGATAAATGAGGCTGTAAAATGGCGAAATATATTCTCTCAATTCCTTAATACGTGGATACAAGGTTAGTGGAAACTGAAATAATGCCTCTTCAGCATTTATCCATTTGGCTTTCTGCTCCATGCGTTCCAATTGTTGTACTATCTTCCGTATATCTTCTATGTATTCTTTTATTCGTTTTACATCATCCATGTTGTTCATTATTATCAATCTAAAAATAATTTCATCTTGATCAGTTAATTCATTTATTTTACCAATATAATGATATGAATATACAACTATTAAAAAGAACTTTTCAAGTAACATTATTATAATGACAAAAACATTATTTAAGTTAGCATTTAAAAGATTCTTGAATGAGAACACAAAGAGTTTCACACATTTTTAGATTTTTTTTCTAATATTACAAATATATATGATATGAAACAAAAACTTCAGGATGTTTCAACTCTGTTTTAAGCTGTAAAATGAATTACAATTCTTATATATATTTCTATAAATTCCTAAAATTTATAAATAAATAAATAATTCCTATAAATTCCTAAAAAAACTTTTAATATTTGATCCATTAGTAAATTCGTGTAACAAAAATTCCAAATACTTAACTAATATAATTGAAAAAAGAACTACTCAAAACAGAGCCAAAAGCTCTGATTGAAGTTTATATTTTGAATGTATTTGTAATATTAGACAAAATCTTTTTGCACAATGTACCAGCGCTGACACTTTTATTGTCAAATGTAATTAATTCCATTTTTTTAAATGAGGCACTGTATATATAAGCACACATTCATGTGCATACATACCTAGGAAACATTTCTTCAACGCTTGCGTTCAAAATAGCAACTTCTTCTTGAAGTTTTTCTTCCAATTCGAATTTCATTTGTTCATATAATGCGGAACTACGCTCTATGATTGGCTTGATACGTCTTAACCATTGAATTGTTGTGTTGTTTAACTCGATATGATGTTTTCCCAGTGTAGTCATTCCAATTAACGAACTCGTCATACGAACCGAAAGAATTATTTTGTCCTGCAGTTCCCTCATTAATACGGACGTCACTGTCAACATATATTGTCCTGCATTAAAAATGTGTTTATTATTAATCAATCCTTTTTTTTATATTAAAAATAATATTACTATTATAATTCATAATAAATTCTTAAGTAATATAATTCTCGAAACTAATCACTTGAATTAATAATTGATAGATAAACTCGCCTAACTCTATTAATTCTTTTGTAGTCCGAGGAATATTTAATACACGTTCCTTTATCATTTCAAACGTAGCACAGATCTTCAGATTGTAATTCCAATGCTGCGTTACAAGTTTGTCAATGACAAGTTCTCGTTGTTTATTTGCGTAAATAATCAGATTGTGTTTTGCGGTAATTTGTCGTAATCTAACTGTCATCAAATATTCATTGTTCGGCTAAAAAGAAATTTATTTATATATATATTTATTTTTAGTTCTGATCTGATTAATAAATATTAATAAAAAGTGACTCATAAGGAAATAAAAAAGAATTATAAAATGCTAAATGGAATGAGCCGTATCTTTTGTTAGAAAATGTAATAGTGATCACTCAAGCCACCCGAGGCTGACCTACGATTCTACTTTAACTAACAATAAGTAAAAGAAACGGGTGCCACATCATTATACATTAAAGAATTGACTTAGATATTTAATTACGTACCATTCCGTTTATCACGCGTATCAGTTGATTGAAGTCTTCGACTTTTGCAACACATTCATCGAACGACAGTTCTTTTTCAGGGGTTGCATCATAATATACTTCATCTATCTTGTAAAAAACAAAACTAAACTGTAATCGCAATTTTTCTAAATAGTCACTCAAAGGCCGAAATGACTTCTGCAAGATCACATTCAACTGTTGATGCACTTCATTCAAATACCAATGAGGTGGTGAAGCAAATATAGTGTAATCGTTTCTCGTAATATCAATTTCTTTCATGTATCCCTTTAACTTTCGCCATTCTTTAGGATGTATCCATGATTCCAGTGGCGGTAAATGATGAGCAATGTTAGCTATTTTATCCACGAAATTGTGAAAGGTATCGTAAAACTCTTCTAGTCGCGGACTCATAAATAAGTTATCACTTTCGCATTTTAAGTCCATCTATTATATAAAATTAATATAAATTTAGATTTATACGGGATTTATATATGTTTATGAAGCACCCACCATTAAAAAAAAGTATTCGTCCATATTTAGTAATTATAAATGATAATTTATCTCGATTTCTACCCTTTTCCATTTGCAGGAAATTATTATATAAATTTCAAAAGTGGAGACTTTACATTACACGCTAACGCTCCCCCCTCCCCTCTTCAGTGAAACATTAGAATACTGTAAACACACACACACAAACAAAAAATATATATATAGTTAAAAGTATAATTAAAATATATATATATATATACAAGGTGTCCCATTTTAAATGACGACCTCAAATTTCTCTTGTGCATTTTAGAGAAAAATGTTTCAAATAAAAATTTTGTGACTTCAAGGGGGACATAAGATGGTACCATTGGTTGGTTTGACTTGGGTGGCGTTGTCAAAATCAAGATCATCGGCGATTGTTCCTCTCTTTTACAGTTTTACCATATTTAATAGAGTATTAATTGTTTTATTCGAGGGAGAAAGATAGAGAGAGAGGACATACTTTTAATAAAGGAATAGTAGTTTGATCATCAAGGATATTTAACAAATGTTTGATGGTGTCAATTGCTCGAGTAATTATTTGTAGACCAAGAAGAGTCGTAGCACATTTGAGAAAACGTATTAAAGCACTCATCGGTATATCCTGTATATAACGACGTTGAGAGAATAACTGTACAATTTCACTATAGTATGATGCAATAATGATGTGTGCGCTCTTCTTTAAGTTTGTTTCGACAGACACAATAAATCTGCAACATACGATTTTTTTTATATTTACTTTTGTTGAGAGCAAAAATATACATATAAGAAAGACTTTATGAGTGATATTCATAGTCGATTCTTATATTTAAGTCTGGCTTAAGATGTCATACATCAATCAGAAGGCTGCGTTAAAATACTACTATTTTAAAATAAAAACGGACAATGAATATTGCCTTATATTTCACAAATTTAAGTAAACTTACTTTACAAATTATCAATTTTTTAATAATTCTTTAATACTTATATATGCTGAATAATTACAGGAATGATATTACGCAAAAAAAATTTATTGAAATTGAGATAAATGTCAGTTTGCCGCATATTTTACAGATTTCAGGATTATAAAATTATTATGATTAAACTAAAAAATAAAACTGTATATATAGCAATTAATTTATTGCATGTCATTTTTCGTCTCTAACATCATGTAACCAACTTGACACTTTGAAATAACCGCTTAGCTTTTAATATATAATAAATAAATACTGGTTATAAATAACTATTCAATTTTCTAATTATTCAAAATATATAAAAAATAATTAGAAAAAATTTCTATTTAAATCTGTATTTTTATATAAATATATATGATTGAAATATACATACCCATTAAAAGTTTTATGTACGATTTTTTAAAGTTTAATTTGATTAAATTGAAAAAAATTTGTTGATTTTAATAAATTCGATTGATTTTAAATTGTACGAATATTCGTAAATAAAACTTGTCGGATATATTAAAAAACATTTTGTACGATTAAACACAAATTTTTGTTTATCTATGAATTTAATATCATTTTAATTATGTATTAATATATATACTTGTCAAAATCTATAAACTCAACATTGTGATAATGTCCAAAGTCACAAAATATTTTTGGCAAGAGGAGATGCGCTTTGATGACAATATTTTTAATAAGTCGGTGCGATAAGTAATATTGTTTGGCGAATGCGCAGCGATTTCTATAAAAATTTGTAGCAGACATAATGCGACTGAAGTGTTCTCTCTTTTTCTCAAATGATGGAGTGATAAACATGTCCTCGTTGTATACATTTTCGCATTTAATAGCTATTGTTCGACATATTGCCATATCACGCATTATCTCATAGTACTGGTCCTTTATTTCTCGCATTTGATTCTCGAGAATATTCATATATTTTTCTTGTATTTTTGATTTATTCGTCAATTCATAAATATTGTCTTCCCATTCCTGCCACATATATTATATGTTTAATTTATTAACAAACAATTATTCCGTTTTTGGGATAAAAATTTTGAAATGTATTTTAGTAATGGATATTTTCAATATATCAAATTAAAAAAAATATTGTTAACAAATGCAAAAAAAATGAAAATAAATGGATATTATAAAAATAATATAAAAAATAAAATTAATATTGGACGAAAAATAAAAATTATACATAGTATTCTATTTACTTTTTACTTTAGTAAATAATTTTACATATTTAATGATTAATTGCCTATTCCGTAAATATACACACGTGCGTGCGCACGCATGCTCGCACGCATGTATAAATAAATATGTAAATAAAATTATTAATCAATTAATTAAAAAATGCAATCTTACCGAAAGTAATCCAGTAACAGACACTTTTTCAACAATCTCTTTTATCTTGTTAAACAAAAAATTTTGTATTTCTGTTAATTTGCATTCCTTTGAATGAACATGAAATTTTTCATAATAATCCATCTTAACTTTTGCTGATGCTGCTTCTAATGCATTCCATATTTCCTTATTAGAAAGTCAAAGAGATCAGAAAACATATATAAAAATAATAAATCAGCATATCAACCATAAAATAATATTATAAGCTAGGTAAAATGCAATTTGTATAAAATATACGCAGTTATAATTTATTCATGTGATAATTAATATATGTAATTTGCTTAATTTATAATTTGTATAAAAATATCTATAAATATTTACATCTTTCATTACTTTGTTACGAAATGTTAGGGGTATTGGATTAACTGGAATGATTTTTGTAACATTTGGTACAGAGGACCATTTCTTCATTGCGTCAATATATCTGTAAGAAATATATTATTCCTTTTTTATAAATTATTTATTTTCAATGAAAATAAAATTAATGCTGATATATTCTTTTGTTTTTCCGATAGTCTATTTTAATCCAGCTTTGTATAAAGATATTGCTATTAAAATATACAGTTCATAATCTAATTGTAAATAGTAAGTTAAAATTCAGTTGGACGCATAATAAGTGCGCATTATATATAGTACGTATTAAGACTGTTGTACAATGTTTAATGTGCAAAATAAAATGTAAATACTTCAAATTTTAAAATATATTATAGATCGCGCATAGACTATAAGCATTAATACAGAAAGGTGCTCACTTGTCAGTTTGCGAAAATTTCCGAGGGAAAGAATCGAAGTTCGGATCTACAATACCTTTTTAAGCCTTCTGCCATAAGAAAATGGACGAATTATAGTCGATTATTCTCCTCGTATTTGACTGTAATTGGTCAATTTCTTAAGGCTTAAAACATCTATTGTAGATCCGGACAGCAAGGTTGTGGACCAGACATAAGGCTTCCTTAAATTTAGATGCTCAGTAGTCAACAAAATAATTCGTAGAGCATTTGAAGATAAACTTAAATATAAGGCCTGGCTATGAATATGGATATAAAACAATAATTTAATTTAAAAAATTATTAAATGTGTCACTGCGCATGCTCTAACACTTGACGCTCCCATGTAAAAGTATCGTCTGTATTTGCATCATGATCATGGTTCTCAATACTTTTCGATCATCTTGCCATTTTGGTGAACTCAGGTGAGCTTGAGAGATCTTTTCCGATTTTCTCTTGTAAGTTCTTATTGCTGGCCCACGAGGTATGTGTATTTTTTACTTTATATTTTTATTCTTTTTAACAATCTATTATATTAGAATATGTATTTTAGAATTGTAATGTATTTTAAATTATCAATGTTTCTACAGTATGATAGTATATGTAAGAAATGGTCTTTTTACATTCGTTATATATCACATAACCTGTAAAAATATTTGAATTTAAATAAATAGATAGTGTGCGTGTAATTTAATAAAATACTTCTATCTTAAATAAAATATATTTTTCATCAAAAGTATAATATACGAGAATTTATATATATGGATTTATATATATGGGTAATGGTGTAAAAATGTGACTACTGATTGTTACCAGACAAAAATTTAAGATGTCGTCTCACTTGAATTGGATGATAATCCGCGACAACAATGCTTTCCTTCTGAAGAAACGTAACATCAACAAGCCGTTTTCTACGGTTCGTTAAGCTTGCTATATATCTTTTAAAGCTTTATTAATATTTTCGAAAAGTTATACTTCCAATAATATTTCTTGTTATTACATAGATTAATCATTCTTTAGGAAGCTAACAATTTGACAAATTTGAGTAGTTATCGCTACTCTGGTGTAATTCACCGTAAGAGTGTTGGGGTCATCGATACTCCTGACAAAAAAGGTTTCACAGTTGTTTATAAGAAGGCCAAAGCAGTTAACAAGCCTGCCAAAGCTAATGTAAAGAGCACAATGAAGGCAGGAGCTCGTCGTTCTCTACACAAGTTAAAAACTCTTCTTAAAAAGAACAAGTATCGTGTTGACCTTACGAAGGTATGCAAGTTATAAAAAATTATTGTTATAAGTTTATTAATTCTTATATTATTTTATGTACTTAAAATAAAAGCTTGAATAGACTTTCCATGATAAGCCATTACATAAATTTTAAGTCTTCAACTATAAGAAATTAAATAATCAGTTTATTATTTTTCTCATACTTAACTGTAATTAGTTGATTTCTTATTTCTTATGGTTTATAACTTAACTTAGGTAATGGCTTTTAAAATTTTACTAAAAGTTCCTTTATTATTGTTTCTCTTTATATAATACAATTCTGATTGCATATTATATTTGTCATTAATTTTATATTAATGCTTCCATGTAAAATGTTTTTTAGGCTGCACTGCGACGGGCCAGTGCTGTACTGCGATCACAGAAACCTCTTCCCACTAAGAAAACACGAACTACTAAAAAGACCGATTAATTTGTATATTTTATTAAATATACATTGTAAATTAAAATATCTGTTATGGACGATGTATTCTATGAAGTAATTGTGCTCTAGTTTAGTAAAATTATTTAGTAAAATTATTTGACATAAAATATTTACACTTCATTTAAAAAAAAAACTTTACTGTGCACCGTTACTTTATAGATACGTCATATTTGTATAACAAAACAAAATACACATTTCAACAAAATAAAAAAAATATTTTTTTAAATAAACATTAGTTATATTAGTTATAAACATCTTGAGTAAGTCTTTCATGTTATATATATTAAGCTTTCTTTATTAAATTGTGTTATTTAGATCTTATAGAAGAATTTTATTTTTAGATTGAAAGGAATAATTTGCAGATGCTTCTTCAGTGTGATTGATCTGCAAAAACCAGTTTTCAATTAGGTACATTTTATTTATTAAGTTTATTTTTTAATTTTATTTATTTTTAGTTTCTTTTATTTATTATATAACATTTCTCTCACACATGCACACAAATTTTGATATTGCTATGAATGTCATGATTTTTAATTTGCTACTTCTAACTTAAAACTCAACAAAATATATTGTTAATGTTGTTCAATATTAAACAGAATTTTCTTTGCTTTTCAGGTTTGCAATGGAAAATCGACTGGGAAATTGACAATGTGAATTATAGGTAATTTTCATTTATCTTTTCTTTTTTTATTTTGTAATAATATAGAAGTCACCGATATTAATATAGGTTTTCTAAAGGAATACCCTTTTATTTTCTAGAAACTAACTTGAACTTTAGTGATACTGACAAAAACATGATTTTTATAAGTCATAATTTATATATTTGTTGTTTGTTTTTATACAAAATCAATTAAAAACGAATTCTATAATTTCCCGAGATTCTATTTTTCGAAATTCTAAATGTCATGGGAAAGCACCATACTTTAATCTTCAATTTTAATTTTTAATGCATAGTAGTCTGATTCTGGCATATAAGAGAGGGAGAGTCACTTTCATCTACCTTGGTTAAACTAACCGACAGTTATATGGAGCGCGTTCAGCGGATTCATTATGTAATTGTCGGTTAGCTTAACCAATTGATGAAAGAACGATATGATTAAAAAATAAAGATATATCAATATCGATGACTTTTTATATTTATATATTTATCTATAAATGATGATAACAAACCACACCAAATCTATGAGTGCCATGATTTGTAACGTATTTGCTAACTGATTATCATTTACATTAATCTGAAATTTTAGATTCAAAAAGTAATCTTAACTAATACAATTATTTTATTATTATTATTATAGGTTGAAATTTGAAGCGGAACGGTTCATTAACCGAGGTTGGTGAAAGAGACTTTAAGTCATTGGGTCTGTTTTTTATGACTAGTATCATCTTTAACTTAAAATCAGGTAGGTGTTTGATATTAATGTTTAATATTTAGGGAGAGCGAAAAAGAGAATTTTAATGCGGAAATAAGAAACAGATCTATGTTATCGTAAGACTTGTTAGAACCTACAAGTGCTTGTAACTCCATGCAATATGATTTAATATCTTTACAGATAGCTATGCAGATACTTCCTGTTAACCGATTTATGAGAAATCTTGAATGATTGTACGTTTTATGATACATATGCATAGAATTATAATATCAGTCATAAGTTCTTACAAGTTGTATGAGAACAAATTATGAGTATTAGGATTCTATTTAAAATTGATATATTAATCTTTATAGTATTCCATTATAATGTCAATATATATAACCCTTGGAGCTGAAGGCAATTGTATATTTATGAGAAAACCGTTTTGTTTTTGTAAAGTATAGCGCTTGTATTACATATTTACATTATATAGGACAGCACGAAGTATCAATCAATAGAAACTGTTTTAATATATCGAAGTACATAGAAAGACTTTAGAAAATCGTATATATTATATTCACTATTTATTTTGTGCAGATAACTTCTGTGAAAGAAAAAAGATAAGAATACATGACATTACTGCTTACTGTATCAGTTTTGACCCATTTTGTCAATCGCTTATTTTTGTTTATTTTATTAAAAAGTTAATTATATATTACAAAATTGCAAACAATGTTATAGTATTTAATAGAAAATATTTTCTAGTTTGTTTACGTTTCTAAAGCTCTATTTTTGACTTTTGTTTAAGAAATATGATTAAAAAATAAAGACATGTCAGTATCGATAACCTTATATATATATATATATATATATATATATACATCTATAAATGATGATAACTGTCCACCAAATCTATGAATGCCATGATTTGTGACGTATTTGCTAACTGATTATTATTTACATTAGTCTGAAATTTTAGATTAAAAAAAATAGCAGCTTTAACTAATACAATTATTTCATTATTGTTATAGGTTACAAATTTGAAGCAGACATCTTCAAATGGTATGAAGGTACGTTTCTAAAGCTCTATTTTTGATTTTTGTTTAAGAAATATGATTAAAAAATAAAGGTATATCAGTATCGGTGACCTTTTATTTATTTATATATATATATATATATAATATATATAAATGATGATAACTATCTACCAAATCTATGAATGCCATGATTTGTGATGTATTTGCTAACTGATTATCATTTACATTAGACTGAAATTTTAGATTTAAAAAAATAGCAGTTTTAACTAATACAATTATTTCATTATTGTTATAGGTTGCAAATTTGAAGCAGAACATCTTCAAATGGTATGAAGGTACAAATATACCTCATCTCTTAAGAACGCTTCAAACATACAATTGCTGTGTTCAATTTGGAACTTCCAGCGTTTCTATTCTTGTTTTACGTCTACTGAAATGTTGATTATAAGCATTTATGGCGCATGAACATCCAAACCAAACACAGCTAATATTAGCCAATAGTATCAATCAAATATCAAAGAAGCTAAAATCAATAAAAAAAATGTATTATCAATAGCGTGATGACAATACAGTGTTAATAGTCCTAAACTAACAAGGAAACATATAGAAGTGTCCACCTCTGATTTTGATATGCTTTGAGTATTTATTGTTATTCTCTAGACAAAAATAAGAGATATGTATTTTTTTATACAGCTTAATCGCACTTAGATGGTGAAACACTCTTTGAAAAAAATTTTTTTCTTTCAAAGCGAGTATTGTTGAAACTATAAGAGATAAAAAAGAAGTGTTCAAAACAAAAATTGAATAGCTTTAAGAGTATTTCGTAATTATTAAAAAAAAAACTTTAAAGTAAATTATTTATCTACACCCAATTAACATTTTAAAATTAAAACATAATTTCAATTTTTTACGGTAAAATAAAAAATTATTTTAAGACAAATTTAATCATATATAATAAAGTTACTTCCTGAAATGTCATTTTCAAGAATCAATTATAAATACATCTCTGTATGCATATTTTCCACTCCCATCCATGCACTCAATTCTTTATGCAATTGTTTATCCTATTATAAAACATATGACAATGGAGGACAAACTTCAAGAATATTTTACGTATGCATAATCATGGAAAACATATTATACGTGATAGTTGATTATGTGACAGAAAATTATAAATTTAATAATGTATTATCGAAATACTTGTTTTTTTTTAAATATATATTAGCAAATTTTTATTAATTGTCGATAATGTCATTGTTCTTCAATTATCCCCAGACTTCCATCGATAGTCACGAAAATTTGCTCAGGACCGAGCGTTTTTAATAGCATCTTGTCCTCGCCTGTGTCAAAACTCTTCATACGAAATACCTGGTTAATCAATACGAATACAATAATCACTTGCGACGCTACAGTATGATCAATGTAGATTAGGCTTTATAAAGTCTGTGTTTCCTTCCATATTTCCTACCTCCAATACCAATATTTCCATGGCCATAGTCTTTCATCTGTGTAGGGGAAATGGACTGAAATGGACATAATAAAGTGCGTACTTTGTACTTTCCAACGTTACGGGCGTACTCGTGGTGTGGTAAAAATGAATTAGAGTGGAGCGTGGAGTTAACATTAATTACAGTTTCTAATAGTAACTGTTTGTAGCATGTAACAATGTACGGCGAGTGGAGACTTCTCTAAGCCCCGCATACTTGTGAGATAGGCGTGGAGACGTTTGTGACGTTGGTTATGGGATAATTGATACCATCACCGAAGTTTCTCACTCGTGAGGAGTATGGGGAACTTTGTGAGTGACATCGTGATATGGTACGTGTCATTCTCGGCTTTATCAAAACACAAATGCAACAGCGGTATCAATTTCTACATCTGATGCGGCACAGAGACAAACTACCTCATTGCATAGGGCCGGTTTTATCAATGCCAATTACTTGATCAATCGATTAATTTAAGTCATCCAGAATTGCTAATAGCAAGACTTCAAAATCTGTTTGAATAGCAACGAGAAAGTGTAGCATAAATAATAAATTAAATTTGGAAATATAAATATATTTTGAATATCTTTACAAATACATTTGTAATAGATTTGTTGTCAAGAAATTTAGGTTAGAAATGATAAGTTTTCAAATTAGTAGTTGGCAAACCCTTGAATTTAATCGGCGGATCAAGTAACTGGTGTTTGAAATAGAGTTATGAATACCTTTTCAAACATTAAATGTTTTTTGTAATTACATACATAATTTTTATGTTTTTATTACCATATAATTAAAAAGAGTACATTTGGTAGCGTGTTGCTACTATTTTCAGTCAGCGTCATATTTGGAACCAGTGAGATTATCAAATTGATTATAAACAATGGAGAGGATATTTTTAAAACGTCTACATATAATTGGGTTATTCGATTATGTTTGAATTTATTGGGATATGCCACTGTGTTATTGCCAGGTTGTCTTATATACAAATATGTACGCTATATAAAGTACATTCAGAGAGGTGGTAAGTACCACTATGGAAAGAACTATTCAGAGTTAATAAGTAATATATTATTTGCAACTTCATTATGGTTCCAATTTACATTTTTTTCTTAATAAGGAATGAGTAACAACATTATGTTTCCTTATGAGTAAATGGTAATGCAATTATACTTATGAAGAGAGAGAGAGAGAGAGAGAATTAATAATAATTTAAATAGTTACTTTTATTAACTTTTAATTTTCAGCAAAGAAATTAATTGGTTACCACATTGCTTTTTATTGCAAGACTAGAATGTTAACATCCTGTCTACGAGAATGTGATACATATATTTTATTTATTGGTTAAAATCTCTATTATTATTATTATTATTATTATTGACTTGATAATTTTTAATAACAAAAATGAAATAAACTATTGTATATATACATACATATTTCAGTTAAAAACTTTCTTAGATATAAGAAACAAAAAATTTAATTGGTTCTTGCTGTACTATCATTGTATTTTATTGATAAAACAAATATTAAAAATAATAAAAAAGATAGAAGTAAGCTAGTCGAATTGGATTTTAATATTTATTCTTTGTTATAAAAAATTGAATGTGTAAAATTGTTCCTTTAATTAGAGAGCATTTAAAATATTTTTATTTTCAATAACATAAAACATTAATCAGAGAAATTGTCTCAAAGTAATAAATGTTATCATAGACAGCATATTTTTTCATGCTTATTATTTATATTATTATTTATTATTATTTATAATACATATTTCAAGACTTAAATGGATGTAAATAGTTAAATTAATAAAAATAGCAATGACTCATTAGTTTTTAAGAGAGGGATCCGATAGCACACATATATACCAATAGCACATTGTTAAAATTAGCTAATTTAAAATAAAATTTTATTGATAAAGCAGTGAAAAATTATTAGACACTGGCCAATGTGAATGGACGTGGGCTACCGGAATTCTCCCATTTATAAATAACAAGTAACGGTAATAAGTTATTTAAAAAAAAAAAAATGAATGATAACAAGTTTTATAATATAAAGTAACTTTGCCAACTCTGAAATATAATGTTCCAAAGTATACCGTAATAGTTTAGAATATTTATATAGGGAAAGGTTGTATTCCCAAACTGGTGCATTCATGCTTTGTGGGACACTGTGAGACAGGGTTCTTGGATTCACCAACTTATGTTCCTAGTGCTTCCACTCACATTCAGCGTACTTTTGCTCAAGATGCTCTACTTTTGATATATTGTTTCCTTGGATTACAAATTAGTTATTTAACTTGGGGCTATCTACAGGAAAAGATAATGACGCAGGTAGTGATCATATTCCATTAATGAAAAAAATATTAAAGAAATTAATGTGTGTGCGTGCGTGCGTGTTATTACGTTGTTGGAATTATTAATTTAGTTAACTACTAACCAGGAAGTAACACGTTACTTGTAACGTTATTACATTTTTACAATAACGAATTCAGCCATTATTGTAAAAATATAATTAAACCAAAATAACACTGATTCTCGTTTGTGCAGGAATACGAAGATGCTTCTGGCAGTAAAGCACAGTTTCAAGATTCGCAATTTCTAGTATTTGTAAATCGCATTCTTGCTTTTCTGATGTCCGGATTATACTTACTTATTCAACGTCAACCACAACATAAGACACCATTGTATAAGTATGCATTTTGTTCTCTATCAAATATCATGAGCAGTTGGTGTCAATACGAAGCTCTAAAATACGTCAGTTTTCCATCACAGGTAAAAAATTAAGATTATATGTCTTCTGATGATTGCTGATTTTTCTACTCACTAACATAACTTTTATATATACATATATATATATATATATATATATGAAACTATTTACGTAAATATTTCTTATTCGTTTAGGTTCTAGCTAAAGCCTCTAAAATTATTCCGGTTATGGTAATGGGAAAAATAGTTTCGCATACGACATACGAATATTATGAATATGTTACTGCGATTCTTATTTCTATCGGAATGACGCTCTTTATGCTGGACAGTTCTGATCATAATAAAAACAGTAATATTTTGTTAAATATGCATTTTTGTTACAACAAATATTATATTAATTTTATAAATACTTTCAGATGGAGCAACAACACTCTCTGGTGTTATTTTATTGGGAGGTTACTTATTATTAGATAGTTTCACAAGTACCTGGCAAAATGCACTGTTTATAGATTATGGAGTAACTAGCGTACAAATGATGTGTGCAGTTAACATGTTCTCCTGTTTGCTAACTGCGATGTCTCTGTTCCAACAATCGAGCTTTCCGCTAATCTTTTCTTTCATGACGACGGTAATTAAAATTTGCAATATGCATGTTATTTCCTTAAAATATTATGAAAGTAATATTAATAAATTTTATAGTATCCCAGGTTTATAATCGACTGTTTGCTGATTTCCATTTGTTCTGCAAGTGGCCAATTGTATATTTTTTACACCATTTCGAAATTTGGATCCATTACATTCGTCATAATGATGACCATTCGTCAGGTATATAATTATTTCATATATTTTATCAATTTGTCAGAAAAAGGATTTAGAATAAGAGCATACAATAGATAGAGTGTCGGCCGGTCATAAAATAAAATTGTATTACATCCATGTGCATATGTATGTGGTTACATACATTCCCAAGGACTTTCCATGAATAATAAAATTAGCCGACACTGTATTTATTATGCTGTTGCCATTGAATTCAGATTACAATCCTGCATTTAATAATGTCTATTACAGGGCTTGGCGATATTGTTGTCATGTTTAATTTATCATCACGAGATTACTGTAGTTGGAGTATTTGGTATACTGTTGGTATTTGGTTCAGTATTTTTACGAATTTATTGTAACAATCGATTACGCATAATCAGAAGACGCAGAGCCACGGCAAACAGTATAAAACATTAAAAATTGTATTAATTAGACAAAATTACAATTTTAATATATAAAACTCTTTAAAAATGTGGTTCTATTAAAAAAACAATAATTTCATAAAATAAGCATAATACCACACACAGGTTCTTATTCGTGATAAATTATTATAACGTAAATAATTTATTCATATCAATAACATAAAATCCATATAAACGTTTCGGTCAATAATATGACCATCTTCAGTATAAATTTGAAATTATATAAAATGAACAAAAACAAACTACATTAGTCAATTATTCGCTTACATCAACAACAATGCGATCTTATTCTTCTTGTTTCTTTCTTCATAGTTATCGTTTGCAACCAAAGTACGTTAGCTTGTGTCCTCGTGATAAACTTTCGTCAGAATTATAGAAGAAAGAAACAAGAAAAATGTAGTCTGGTAACCATGTTTCGTCAAAAATTGTATAATTCTGAATGAAGAAAGAAACAAGAAGAATAAGATCGCATTGTTGTTGATGTAAGCGAATAATTGACTAATGTAGTTTGTTTTTGTTCATTTTATATAATTTCAAATTTATACTGAAGATGGTCATATTATTGACCGAAACGTTTATATGGATTTTATGTTATTGATATGAATAAATTATTTACGTTATAATAATTTATCACGAATAAGAACCTGTGTGTGGTATTATGCTTATTTTATGAAATTATTGTTTTTTTACAATTTTAATTTTCATAGAAGTAGAATTCTATCAACTGTTTATTATAATTGCTATGGATTAGGATAGAATTTTTACGTAGTAACTAGGTATCAACTGTATTTATGGATGCTAAATTTTAATCTTTTATTTATAATTAACATTGAGTCGTAATCTCTCTTTCCATATACAGCATACACTATATATCGCGAATTTATACCCGATAGTTTGTGATAGTACCTTCAATATATGAACTTTAAGAAATGTTTGTATTTATAAATTTTGTAGTCAATGTACGTCGCGTATGTAATATATTTGGAAAAATATGTACTTGAAGATATATGATCTGAAAAAAAACTAGCATTATATCTTTATGAAAAAAAATTTGTGTTATGCCATATATATGAAGGTGTACACATATATTGTATTATTTATTTGAAAAACATTTATTTTGATATAAATGCATATACACAGCAAACACATGCAAGTTTCTTACTATTATAGATGATTATAGAAATATGTATATGTAATTCTCTTTTCTGTAGGACTTAAGCTTACATATTTACCAAAGAAAGATAGAACATTTGTGTTTCCGTTGGCTATGTTAAATTATATTAAAGACGATAAAAATTTTTTTAACTATGATCGTTTTACTATCTTTTAGCTCAAAATAGCGTCTAGAACTCTCGAGTCATGATAATATTTGTTATAAAGCTTTGCAATCTATATTTACAAAATTGGAAACTACAGATAACACAAAAAAAATAACGCCGAGTTCTTAGACGTCTAATTAAAACGCTATCGTTCTATAAAAAATTATGTATTTGTGTACGTGCAACATTAATGTAGTAATGTGTAAAGATGCATCACATTTTATCGATGAACAATACTTTCGGAGTTCGGGTTTTACTTTGGGATCTCCTTAAGAACTTAACACGAGAAAGTAGCCATTCTAAATCAGAATTAAAATGCGAATGAAGTTTTGTATATAATGTATAAAAGTATGTCCATCGACAATATATTTTGATAACAGATCAATTTTCTCTAGGAATTTATGAAACACATCCACTACACATGTTTCTTTCTTGAAGGCTTGATCTTGTTCACATTTATGCTGTTGATTTTCTTCATTTTTTTTCTTCTTTTGATTGAAAATTATATTAAACTGGAGCACATACAGCACTTGCTAAGAAATAGTCATTCTATTCATCACACCATTGTTTACAATATATAATAAAAGAGAGATTTTTCTAATAAAGTTTATTTGATGGTGACAAATTATTTCTACTATTTGCCATAAATTGCTTGCTTTTAGCAACAATAGATAATACACAATAGTTCTTCAATGTTTCTTTGATAGATACATAAATTCACGGATAATAGTTTAAATAAGAATACTTGGTTGGTAGTATTCATAATCTTATAATTACAGAAGTTGTACAAGTAACATATAAATCTTATTTTAATGACTAGTCTTTATTTTTATTAAAAATTTGTAGTAAAGCTATTATGCAGAATGGATTTATATCGGGATGGATTTATTCAGGGAAAATGACCTGATTCTCTCCCATGCAGGACTATTGTTTATACGTATAGATATAATAAAAATCGTACACAGCAAGAAAAGTCTTATCATATGTCAAAAACAGCGGTGTCGAAAACTTTGATTTTGGTCTTGACGCGCGAATCGATGATATACGGAATGGAATATTAAACGTGAAAGGTATAAAATAATAGTCATCATGCGACTAAAATATCAGAAACGATAACAAAGTTATTTCACTGGGGCTGGTGGTCGGTAGATTGCTATAAGGCACATGATCGCAATGATCACCTCGGACGACAGCAGGACCAGCTGTATGCTGCAGAGAATCACTTCCAACCTGAGTACGTAGTACTGCCAGAGCAGAAAGTAGAGCGTAGCTAGCGAGCTGGGAATAGTCAGGACGATTCCGATGAGAATTGGTAGTCCACGCTCAGTTAGATTTCCTTTTCTACCCAAATAAATCCTGCCGCTCTCCGTCACTATCAAGAAAAATAGAAGCGCGAACTCTGTCAGAGTCTTGCTTGCGCCCGGTGATGGTATATTCGCAGCCTTGAACAGCCCCATGCACAGTTCACATACAGCGAACATGCCGAAGTAAAAGGAGTTCAGGTACATGAGAATTTCATAGATGAGCGAGGAGTTCACTACGGCGGGCATTATCACTCTTGAATACTCCTAAATTCTTCTGATCGTCGCGAGGCTACAGTGCGGTAGAAACCTTCGGATCAGCTCTACAAATAGACATTGGCCCGTATTCAGTCAGACGCGCTTATAATAGTTATAACGATGTTAGCGCTCTAACATGCTATAGTTTACTTCACGCATACTATAAAATTTAAGAGATAAACGCGCTTTTATCAATAAAAACGCGTTCTAAATACGAACCATAAAGTATACGATGCGTATATTTAAAAAAAATGACATTTTTTCATACTAATAAGAAAAAGATTATTTTATATTAATAAATAATAATGTTAACTTGTTACCTGTGACTGTACAAAGTAATTTTTATATTTTGTTTCAATACTTTCTGAAATTTACCTTTGAATCTGAGCTATTTGTTATTGGACACCCTGGCACTATATGCACTTTATCTATGTGCACTTTATCTATGTTTTTATTAATATCAAAGAATGAATTGTTTGGATACAGTATTTATATAACCTTTTACGGCAGGTTCACACCTTGGCGGGAAAACAGAAAGCGAAAGAGCAGTAGCCAAATGTTGGTAGCAAGCTAGCAAGTAGTATAGAACTAACAAAAAGTCGACCAGCGCGAGATCTGATTGGATACTGTTTTTCCGCTTTCCGCTTTTCCGCCAAGGTGTGAACCCGCCCTTAAGCTGGTTTTACATTGGTCCGGATACAATAGAGTTTTAAGCCTTAAGCCACAAAAAATAGACGAATCATAATCGATTATTCTCCTCGAATTCGACTGTAATTGGTTAATTTTCCACAGCTTAAGGTTTAAACGTTTAGATTCGGGGTTAAGCTGATTCTACATTAAAGGTGGCCAGTGGCGAAAAAAATATTTTTTACGCCACTGCTCATACCGCTATGCTTGATTGATTTAATTCATTATAAATTTTGCAAAAAATTATATACATATTAATTTCTTATCAAAAAAATTAATGTATTATAATTAAATTTATTATATCATTAAATATATATATATATATATATTTATAGCTCAAATATATAGCATATATATTGTCTTTTTTAGAAAAAATAAATCTTTCGTAAGCAGAGTAAAATTATTCACTCTTCTCTTGAAGTGACATTATTCGGTCTAATGAGAAATTCCATTCAATAAGTGAAGTAAATTTTAACACTGCAATAAATTGAAAAATTGGAGTGAATTTTTTAATTCTTTGCAGTGATCAAATTTATTTCAATTATTGAGTGGAATTTTTACCACAATAAAATTGCAGTAAAATTCATTGCAATATAGCACTGGCTCAATTGTTACTAAAGCCTGGAGTGAAATTTCAATTCAATGCAGTGTAAAATTTCACTGCTACAGATTTAGAGTGTATAGTTTTAAATAAAAGTTTTAAATCTAAAATGTAAGAATCAACTACAGAATACCACAGAGGCGTATTATAATCTTAAGACGGTCTTGAAATAAAAATAGATTTATGAGTATCTCAACAAAAATGTCACGTTTCTTCTTAGGATCGTTTTGCTCAAACGGAACATTAATTGAACATCAATTGTGAGTAAGCGCGCATACATATGAACGTGAAGGGTGAAAGTCGCTGATGGAATTCCGTCAATCTCATCAATAATTAAAATAAAGCGGTCGAACACATGCGCGGCGCGGCGCGCACTGCGCAGGACGACGCAGCATCATCAGATTATTATATGTTCGTTATGTATGTTATATCCCCGTGTGGCTGGTGGCACAGCTTACGTAACAACGTATAGTTGTAGTGCGCACCATTCGCCGCGTTGCAACCCGTGTATTGCTCGCCGCAGTTCCGTGAAATTCCGAAGGTTATACATCAGTCCGGATCGGTCGAATTTTTCGCGGGCTGGCAAAGAGGGACGCAGAGACACGGACAGGGGGTTGCCTGTGACTATACATATTATTCGGTTTACTCCAGCTTTACTCCATTTACTCCGCCACCGCTGAACGGAGCCACGCTCTGAAGCTGCTGTGGGCAGTGTGGGCTGCTGTGGCTGAGAGGACGGAAGGAAAAGAGAAAGAGCGATCCTGCGCGCGCATGAAAGGGTATAGGAAGGGAAAGGAAGAGAGAGACAGAAGGAGACGGAATATAGCTGTAGGTCGAACGCAAGTTGGACGGAGACGCGACGAACCTAGAGAAGAGGTCAGAGGTGTATGTGTATTCGTGTGCGCGAGGGTAGCTCGACATCCAACCATAACCAGCTGGTTGGCAAGGCAGCCGCGAGCAGTCGCCAGTGAGACGTAGAGTGAGACGCGGCACTTCGCGACGAGCGCGGGTGTGTTATTTGTTCGTATACGTGCTCACGTATCCGTAGTGCGGATTTCTCGACTCGTGTGTGCCTGCCGCTTTTATTGGTGTCTCCTTCCTTTTCTCTTTCTTCCGTCGTCGTGGTCACCCTGCACGTACATTCATTCATACGTTCGTTCGTTCATCCGTCCGTCCGGGTCTGGGAGTGTGCGTCTACCTGCTCACGCCTGGCACCTCATTCTCGGACACGACACTCGCCCCCATAAAGCGAGCCGCGTTTGCCCCCGCCGCCTCTCTCAACCCGCGGCGCATCGCTCCACTATCGTTCATCTCGCTCGCGCGCGCGCGCTCTCCTCCCGCACTGTATCTTTTCTCTTTCTCTCACCTCGCTTTTCCAGCGAGCTCCCCTCCTCGAGAATCGGGAGGCAAGAAGAGAGAGGGTGCGAATACGTGTGGTGCGCGACCAGTGTGGGGTACAATATCATCCCGTTTGCGTGTGCCGCTGGTGCGCGCCGTCGTTCCGGCAATAATCTCCGTGGCCGCGCGCGCGCGCGCGCGCGCGCCCAGGTGTGTGTGCTGCGTGCGGTGCGGGTTTGTGTGTGTGTGTGCGCGCGCGCGCGCGAGCGAGCGAGCGTGTGTGGTGTGTGTGCGGGAGGGGGGAGGGGGGGGGTTACGTGCGTGCAACGAGCGAAGCAAGATGGCCGCTGATTCAGGAATGGAGACGTGTCCCTCCCCGGAGATTGCGGACTCCAGAAAGCGGCCGCTCGACTGCGACGCGGAGAACGGCGCGACCAAGAGATCACACTACGGATCAGGTATTTTCGATCGGGCGTCGTCGACGCTGCGCGTCAAACATCGTCAGCGTCAGCCCCCGTCACCAGAATCGCGACAATTTCACTCGTATGCTCGTACGTCGTCGCTGACATCGCGCGCGCGGAGCCTATAGTTTTTCTCTCTTCTCCTATACACGTAACCGTGTCCTTCTCTGTCTCCCTCTATCCTCACTCCGTTTCCCTCTTGCTCCTTTCCTTCGCGCGTCTCTGACGATCCTGTCGTGTCGCTTTGTCGCGCTCTATTGATGACAAACGCAAGTCCCGTCTCCTTTCATTCTCCATATCGCGGGTTTCTCGTCGGTGGCCCGTTTCTCATCAGCAGCCGTACGTGTCACGGAACACGGTACACAGCGCCTCGCCTCGCCTGGCCTCGCATATCCTCGCATATCCTCACTCTCGTGCCACGTCTCTTTCCGTCTATATCGTCGTCCTGTTTTTCTTCTCTCTCTCCCTCTCTTTCTCTCTCTCTCTCTCTCTCCCCCCCCCTCTTTCTCCGTCGCTCTTTATTTCTCTCGTGCTCTCGCTCTCCTTCGACTACGTGTGGGCGGTCGTGCCTGTGGAGCATCGTTAATGGAGGACCGCTTCCACGGCGGTGGCTGCTTCTACGGTGACTCTGCAACTTTATCGCGCAAGCATCGTGGAAATAGCGGCGTACGTTTCCGCTGCGCCATCCTCGTCATCGTTGTCGTGCATTATACGCGCACACCTGTCATAACAGCACTTCGTGCTCCGTTCCGTGCCGCGTATCCGTAACACGGTGTCGTCGTCGGAGTCGTCGTCGATGTCGTCGTCGGTGTCGCCGTCGTCGCCGTCGTCGCCGTCGTCGTCGTCGTCGTTATCGTTATCGTCGTCGTCATCGTCGTCGTTATCGTCATCGTCGTTGTTGTCGTTATCGTCGAGAAGCGGTCACCGCTGCTGCCATCCGCGCACAGAATGACGGCGCCCACTAGGATGTGGCGCATCGGTGAGTGAGTTTGTCACGCACGCACGCACTCACCTCGCGTCTCTTTGCTTCTCCGAAGAGGTTGATGGGTCAAGGTCGTCGGGCCAACCAGGCAGCCAGCGAGCGAGCGAGCGAACGAGGCCGAACAGAGCCGAGCCAACGCGCAGAGCCTCCATCTGTCAAACAGCTGTTTGACTTCCGTATATCCAACTTCCTGCTTTGCTCGTCCCCTTCGCTCCGATCGCATCGATCTTCGTTTGTCTAAAAAAAAAAGGACGAAGTGAAGTAAAGTTGTTTAATCGAAACACTACCGGGTTTGCATTTACAATTTTAGTTAGAGTCTCACCATGTTGATTCTTTTGCCGTAACATCCACTTGAAATTGGATGTTCTTAGTCAGAACTAATTACTGTTCGTTATTATTTTTTCTTTATAGCTTTTTTTCTTTATATCTGTATATAAAGCGCGATTTATTTACAACATTCCATCTCTGCACCTCTGTTTTTTTTTCTAGCCTTGTGATCCGATTACGGTTTAAAAGGCAATCTTCCAGTGAAGCTGATTAACCAAAATCACATTATTATGATTGATTCTTCTCGTTTCAAATTAGTTCTCTTCGATTTGTAATATTTATGCACTAATTACCGCACCATACTCTCATTGGCCCGATTTTATTATAGAATTTAAAATACCAAAAATTGTGTGTGTGCGATATCTGTTTAATATTAGTTTAAACGCTTAAAGTTGTAACAATTGTTGTTAGAACTTGTGAGGTTTTAAAGGAAGCTGTAAAATTAATATATGAAAAGTTAATTGAGACTTTTCATATACACGGATCGAAAAATGTTTAAATATTTTGACGGTTTTGGTAGTTTTTGAGTTTTGAGTAGTGTTTCAAGAATTGTAGTGATAATTATTATAATTTTAAACGTTTCAATTAATATTTAAAGAGATATCGCAATTTTTTGTATCTTATTATGTAAAGTTAATCTTAAAAATTTAACGATGATTTTTTAGCTGAATTTATCAAAACTATTTTTAGTTTTATGTCTGTTTTAAAATAGGTCACAAGCCATAAACCATAAGAAAATAACCAGTTATAATCGATTATTTTGTCATATATTCAACTGTGACTGGCCAATTTTTACGGCTTACGACTTGCAATCCTATTGTACAATAAGCATTATTAAGAAACTCTAGAACATAACCTCTTACGGTTCTGAATTCACACCTCTCGAAGTTATTTTTATTAAAATAAAATACTCTCTAACTTTACAGATGTCGAGCTAGGTCATGTTCGCGAATCAAAATTCGAGATCTATATCGGATTTTGGTCGGGAAATTCTAATTATTTTTTACATTGTATTGTCTGAAAAAGATTGACCTCGATTCACAGTCAGATGTCTTCAACCCCTGTGTTCGTTCGCAATAGGTCTGTTCGCATTGCTTGCACTTTTTGCACTTACCATCTTAGCTTTCTCTCTTTTTAACGTCGAATATATATCTATCTCATTTTAAGTGCAAAATTATTTGGGGATTTCATGCAACGCGAACAGACCTAATGCTAGAACTCTATTCAAGTTCTTGGATCCAGGAATGTGTTAATCAATATGTAATTCTTATGGAAAAACCGTAAATTGATTAGCTATACGTTTCTCGGAGAAAATGAAGCAAATTGCCATGAAATTTCATAATTCTAAAATGTTTCTGAATTAGCTTTATGGAATTGCAAAATTCATGTACTCTATGCATTAAAATAGTTATTGCAAAACATCGGCTTTCTACCAGAAATAAAGAAAAATTAAAAATATTTTTTGGCATAAACGCAGCTAAGCTATCATCTGACGACATTCACTCAATACAAAAAAATTTTACAGTTTATATGTATAAAATGAAATCTCGCTATAGAGATATGCTTGGATAACATCGTGCAATCGGAACTAAAAAAAAGATTTAAAAAAAGATTAAAAATGTAAAAAAAGATTGTTTAGAAATACGTTTTATAAATGAGAATAGAGATAAACAGTGATAAAGAGATGAGCAATATTGTGTAGATGCCAGATCTTGCAAGAGCTGGCGCACAGTCGGAACGAAATGTTAATGGTAGATATATCAAAGTAATGCAATCCTTTTATCTGAGTCGAAATGCTGACTTTCCTATTGGCTATTTCAATCGTCATTTTTTACCTGGTGGCTGTAATTTAATAAACGCTTAATATTATTGATAATTTTTTTCATTATAATATGGTTATTACAAAATGATGAACATTTGTGCTACTTTGGTATGTATATCGAGAAACATAAACCAGTATTCATAGTCCGTTCTTATTTTGAGATAGTCTTGAGTAATGTCTTAAGATGCTAATATGGCTCTCTAATCAGTTTGTGCCATCTTAAAGCCCTTGAGTAGTCACCGCGGCCATGTTGGGATCGTGACGTTAGAAACGAGAAATGACACGTTAATTTATGTTAAGTGCCATTTGTAAATAAAGTCAGTTTGGATAAATCGAAACAACGAGATCGCTTTAAAACACCTGTAAAAATTAATGAAAACTGTACCTTTCTCCCCTAGCAGTCAGTAAATGGTCGTAAAAGACACGTAAAGTGAGCCTCTGTACGGACAGGAAACACATGGTTTGACAGTTGTTGAAACGAGTGAAAAATACGTCTTTATTTCGGTCTTTATGTATAAAATTCCAAGATAATCTTAATTTTTTTTGTTCGTTTTTAGAACCTTCATAAATACGAATCACATTTTTACAGTTAAGCATATAACGACGAAATAGCACGTAACAAAAATTCGTCGTTAAAATCGTCCTTTCACGCCTATTAATTCAACTCCTTATTGTGGTGAGGCGCTGTATCCACACAAGCACGAGCCCATGTCCATGCGCACCTAACACGTCCACTATGAATAAGGGAAGGACATTATAGTAAAATAGTAAAATCTCTCTGTGTTGTGCACTTATATATGCATTATAAGCCGTTTACCACGGCAAGGTTGAGATTATCGAAACGGGTTTTTTTTTTATTTTTTGTTTTTTTAGCTATTTTATTTTATTGTGTTGTAAGAAAAAATTGTATTACATTTTACCTCGAAAGCTTTTTACTTAAAACACTGTAATGAAATATTTTTATCATTAAGTACTTTTTGAGTTATACAGCTTGAAAGTTATAGTGCTGCTATTATTAGCATTACCCAAGGTGTCCGGCCGACTGCTAAAACGTTTAATAACATTTGTTAAGATCAAAGCCAGCAAATTGTTTCTTTTGTTTTAATTTTTACATAAAATAAGAATTAAAGAGATATTCCAATGATCTTGATTTTAACGAATGTTATCAAAGTCATGAAAGAATACTTTATTACAGTATTTTGAAAAGTTCTCAAAGTTACGTAAGTAAGATACAGTAAGTTATGAGAATCTGCAATAAGACATGGGGACTTCAAAAAATTCTGTGTGACTTTGGTCTGACCTTGACAATGTCATCCAAGCTGAAACTAATAATATTTTATTTTATGATAATTGTTAAGTTATTGATTGTTAAGATTAGACCATTGTTGTACATAGGTTCCATTATGCTCGGTTTAATGAAATTTAAATAAAATTAGACACGACTTAACAATTTTGATGAACAAGATTTGATTTAATTTGGACATTACCACTTTATTAATTATATTTTTTATGCGTTATCATCTTGGATGTTTCGTAATTTTAATTATTATTTTTATATTGTATTGAGAATGACCTTAACCGTAGGTCGAAACGTCTACGTTTTGTTTTATTCAGAATAAATTGTTAAAAAACACACACTTAGAATCAATGTTGGCTCATATTGGCAGTTTTTTTTGTTTTTTTGATTTATACAACTGAACTTTTTGATTATCTTATTTTTTTATTTCATTTTATGTTCTTTTCAAAGTCAGAAAACTTTCATATAAACTGTTTTTCTTTAAAATGTTTTATTTGTGAGATAAAAAATTTGTAATATCTTATTTTGGACATCCGGTATACAGGGTGTAAAAAAATTCCGAACTCTTCAAATATCCTGAAAAGCGTTTCTAACAATGAGAAAATGTTTCTATAAAAGTTATCGGGTTTAAAAATCTATTTACTCATCTGTTTGACCTTGAGTAGTGCCACCAAGTTCAGGTCAAGATCAGTGTAATAAAGCAAAAAAAATTTTTATTTTGTTTTTAAAAATGTATATTAAGAAGGGATCTCTCAGTGATCTTGATCTTGACATATGTTATCAAGGTCATGACTTTGAGTGATCTTCAACAGGTGTCGATCTATTCGTTAAAAAGTTATAAACAAAAAAAGTAACGTCTTATTATTTCTGCCACATGTAATATTAAAAACTATATTATATTATTCTTCCCTGTTTTATACAACATGTCAATGTCATCAGAGAGGAGACTCCCCTAACCTACATATTTATTCTTGTTTTTTTCCAAACGACCAAAAAATTTAAACATGACAATTTTGTTTTTAAAGGGAATTTATAATTGTAATCAAAATGTAATCGTTTATCTTCTTGATTAAAGTAATTAATAATTTTTTTATAAATATATATTTTAAATAGTAATAGAAATTAAATAACTTTTTATTTTAAAAATCTTTTTGTCTTTTCTTTACAACTGTTGTTTTTCTTTTTTAGGCGAGTATTTATCGTATTTGGAAGTAGCATTCCAGCATTAAATTTTGTTACATGTTTAAATAATTATTTCTTTTCTGATATTCTTATTTCATATATTGTGATTCCGAAATGGTTTTATTTATATTTTACTGCATTATGCACGCGTTATTCCAGAATTCTTGCACATGAAGCAATAAGCGTATGGCAAGAAACGTCGTCCAGCTCATAGTTAACAATGCGTTCAGCAGGAAGAACTAATCAGTTAGTGATTCTTTAATATGATTGGTTCCTACGCTTAGAACCAGCAAAGAATTAGATTGATAAGTTTGCTCTGTTGAACTCAACTAATAAGCCCGCGAGTTTACTACGAGCAGCAATGGCAACGCACGAATGGCCAAAAGGCCTCCCTACACGGTCAGTAATACTGATTGTGATCAGTATTACTGATCAGTATTACTGACAGTATGCATTAGTTTTTACAATCTTATATGATCAGGTAATATTGATAATATTTTACTTCAGTTTGACGTGATTTGACGTATATTATCATCTATGACGACATGGATCTTAAGGAAAAAGCATCTATTTAAATCCAAATCATTGGGGTATGTTAAGTTAGCACCCCAACTATAGTACTCAGGAGTTCTGATTAGAGTTCCCACTTCCTTTTGACGAGACGAAGAGTTCCCTATAGTTAATAACAAGAGTTCCGCTCAATAAACATTTTTTTTACATTTTTTAAAAATGGGGTGCTAACTTTTTATCGAATTTCGAGGTGGAATAGTTCTGAGCGGCTTAATAGCTTCAATTTGCGATTGCCTAGAGTTCCTGATATGTAAAAAAATTTTTCGAATATTAAAAGAAAATTAAAAATTTTTGAAAAATTAATTTTTAGATACAATAGTTCTGATGATAATTTCTGCTTCTTTTTGACGATACGAAGAGTTCTCTATAATTTTTAATGGCATATGCGCTTTAATAATTTTTTAATAATTTTTAAAAAATGGGGTGCTCACTTTTTAACGAAATTCAAGGTCACATAGTTCTGATCAGCTTAACAGAACTATTTTGTGAATACCTAGAGTTCTTGATACATAAAAAACATTTTGAAGAATAACAAAGTTTAAAAAAAATAATAGAAATCTTCGAAAATTTTGAGTACTATAGTTGGGGTGCTAACTTAACATACCCAAATCATCGTCAATATTCTACGTCAATCCATTAATATTAACCACACACAATCAATAATATTGTCAGTATTCGTTGATATTGACAGTATTACTGATCGTGTACAGAGGTCTAAAGAAACACTTCCGTGCACTGGGCGGTTCTACCTCGCCCGCTTCATTGCGTGCAATTGGGCTTCGCGGTAGTTTGGTTGAATACACGCTCATTTGGATATGCTTAAAAACTAATATCTCATTAACTATTGCGAAAATTGCAAAATAGTATAAAATTTTTCAAGTCAGTTTAGTTTGCTGTATCTGTCCATATAAGCTGTGTTCCATCCACAGTCTAAATATATAGATTTCGCCTCGATGTTTGAAGATAGTGTTGAGCAGCGCCATATTTACTTACTCTTATATATATAAACCGCACAGATAATAACATTAACATTTTGATATTTTCATATAAATTCACACGATATTCACAGGTAGGATGCATACGTACATATATTTCTGTAAAACTGCTATCACTTTTTCAAAATTTGGAAAAGATAAGCGAAATTTTGAAAAAGTGGGGCCAGCTTTACAGAAATCATACATATGCATACATGAACTGAAACAAGATTCAGGTTCATCTCTTTCTATCACATTAAGTCAGCAGTCTAGTTATAGAATGCGATTTCATTTAATATCAGATATCCTGCCTAAGAATGATTAAAAGAATGGTTTTCTTTGATTTTACAGGAGGAGATGGAACGTATCATCTCAAAGTATTGGTTCCCGGTGTGGCGGCCGGAGCTATTATCGGAAAAGGTGGAGATACAATTGCTCAACTTCAAAAGGATACAGGGGCAAGAGTAAAGATGTCTAAATCGCACGATTTTTATCCGGGTATACATTTAGCTTCCAGTGCGCGCGTGTTCTCGCGGCTGCCTTTATCCGGGTAATTACCGTTTCATTCGTCTGTTACAGGTACTACTGAGAGAGTATGCCTTATTACAGGCACCGTAGATGCTATTATGGAAGTCATGGAGTTCATCATGGACAAAATACGCGAGAAGCCTGATCTTACTTCGAAAACTACGGTTGATTTTGACTCTGGTAAAGCCACTGCGGAGAGGGACAAGCAGGTATAAGATTAAAATATTTTTACTGTAAAATTTTTTTTCTATTTTCTATTAAAATATTTTATATACAGGATGTATGTATATTTTTAAGGAAATACAAATTTGTTAATAATTACTTTTTATTAAAAGTATTTATTTAAAAGTAATACGATATTAAAGGTAATTACAGATTTAAAAACTGCTTTTTCTGGGTATTGTAAATTTAGAATGCCTCTTCTCTAAAAATAATGCATTTGTTATTTAATATTAATAATTTTTTATAATATATTAATATATTATTACTAAATTTCTTGGGAAAAAAACAATGACACTAATAATATTTACTCAAATAATACGAGACTTAAACAAATATTGTACGCACGAATGACAGAGGTTTAAATTGCTATTTCAGGTTAAAATTTTAGTGCCTAATAGCACTGCTGGGATGATAATAGGAAAAGCTGGAAATTATATTAAACAAATTAAAGAAGAATCTGGCTCGTACGTTCAAATCAGTCAGAAGGCTAAGGACTTGTCTCTTCAGGAGCGATGTATAACAGTGATTGGTGAGAAAGAAAATAATCATAGGGCGTTACACATGATCTTAGCGAAAGTGGCGGATGATCCACAAAGCGGTACCTGTCTTAACGTCAGTTACGCGGATGTAAGTGGTCCTGTTGCCAATTACAATCCTACAGGCAGCCCGTATGCTCAAGCTCCCACAAGCACTCCTACGTATACATCTACGGCTGGTCTAAATACAGGTTAGTTAAAGTGTCTTTTAATAATGCAATAAAGTATTTTCTATGCGATGAATGAAAATTTGAGTGTTGTTACAGGACAGCGTTTTCGATTATAAGATTAATGTCTAATAATATTCATAGATGTAAGAAAATTATAAGCATGCTTTTTCTTAATTTTTACTACAATATTTAATGTCTTCAGAGGCATCACTTTAGTGAACTTTTTTTTAAAATTCTTGGCAGAATTTTTTTAAATGTTGATATAATTTTATAAGTTTTTAAAAAATTTTTTTAATTTTTTGTACAAATTGTAATATTTTTTAGAAATGTTGAAAAAGTCTACATTTTTTTTTTAATTTTTGGTACACTGTTGAAAATGTGAATAAATTATTAAACACAATAATTAAGAAATAATATTTATACTGGACAGAGCTGGATTTTGAGTGCTTTAGATAATTTTATGTAAATTTATATTGTATATCACATTTGAAGTCTCTTGCATTGTGCGTCGAATTGGTTTTTAAGCTATTTCTGAAAAAATCAGACAAAAATTTACCTCGTATTTTTTGATCTGCTTTTATTACGTGATATATACATTATTTTAAATAATATGTAAGCTTATTCCCCTCTAAAAAAAATTTTTTATTAAAGGTTTTTCACATGAAAATTTTTATGACTGAGCACCGGCTCTACTTTAAAGTTAAATATCTCTGACTTGAATCATCGTAGAAAGATGAATCAAAAAACGATTTTAAAAGCGAAGTTAAGCATTTGTATATTACCAAAATTTGTTTAAAACATTAATGATTTTAACAATGTAAATGTTAATTATATTTTTTAACCAAAGACTATCACTTGTAAAAATTTAAAAAAAATATATCGGATTCTTATTAAATTAATAACAAATTAAATACTTGTATATTTTGTTATAAGATGGAATCTCAATAGATTCTTCAAAAAAATCAGTAAACATTGTGCAGCATCGCGCGCATCTATCCGCTCGGCTTATAACACTCACACGGAATGCTATAGATCTGACCGACTTCTGACCGAGGTAATATTTTTCATAATTTTATTTACAGATTTTTAGTTTATCATTAAGATTTTTTAATGATACTAATTGAGCATCAAATTATTAAATTAGTTGTTAATTTAATTTGTGATATTACTGTATTAGTTTAATTGCATTCCTAAGTTCGGAAAACCAATTTGGTACGCAATTCGAGAAACTACAAATGTGATATATTTTACAGGAAGTTATTTAAAGCATTTAAGATCTAGCTTCGATCGGTATAGGCTTTATTTCTTAGTTATTGTGTAATCACATTATACGATCTTAATAAATCATTTATAAATGATTAAGATTTTAAAAGATATCAACTGTACAATTTATTGAAAAACATTAATCATGACAATATATTTTTTTAATCTGATATCGAAAATGGCCATTACCTTCTTGAATAGCCCTAATTCTTGTGAACATTGTGTTCAACGGGTGTCTAATATCATCTTGTAGTATTTTAGATTTATAAGCTTGTTCTATTTATTCATAAAGCAAAGGAAGTGGAACTATGTGAAAAGTAATTTCTTAATATTGCTTTAAATCTTGTCATATGGTTTTAATTCAAATTGTGTATGGAAATTTATAATTTTCAAAGAAAATTATACCGTTTAATATTTCTTTTTTTAATTCTAATATGTATACGTATGACAAAGGAAAAATGAGTAATAATCATAATATTGTATTTTTAATTTTTGTTCATTTTCTCTATTATTATAGATTTAAATTGAATGAAATGTAATTAAACGAAAAGTTAAATTACTTTCTTCTATATATAATAACTTTTCAAATTTATTCCTGAAGGAAGTAAATAATTGCTGAAGCAAAAGAAACTGTAAAACTTGCAATGTTTTCTGATTAAATGAATAAACGAAACTATTTTTTATATATTATACTTTTATAAAGCGATTCAAGACTTTATTTATCGATATATGTGAGCGTAGAGAAAAATCATTCCCTTTAATCATTAGTTCATCAAGCTTGGACATCTATCAGACCTTTTTATGATTTAGCGAAATTCTTGTTGTCTTTGTCACTTGTAATTAATAAATACGATGATTGCTCATTTCTTTTATAGTGAGTCTCTTAAATGGCGCTGGTTTGAGTCTTAATCTAAATCTGGGCGCGGCTATCACCGCTGGCACGGCGCCGGTGACGACGCAGTTGTTAGAACACATAAAGCTGAATCTACGTACGACAGGTTTTTCCGAGCCTGCTGCTACGGAGATACTTGCTGCGATCGCGACTCTTGCTAAGTACAATATCCTCGGGATGGGGATCGGAATGCCGTCGAGTATGAGCTATTTGGGCAATCCAATGGACAGTACGACAACTGCTAATGGCTCGAACAACAATGGCGGTGTGTTCGGACCGATCGGAACCGTTCCTGCGCTCGGGTCTACCTCGCCGACTCCGCGCAACACCCTTGATCGGTACGAGCCGTTTGATCCATTCCGACAGAACAACACCGCCGCCAATGCGATACACCTGAACAACAATTCGTTCGGCCTGGGCACTAACCAGTTATCACTTGTAAGTAAGAGTCCTACACAGGTAGACGCCAACAACAAGGAGACCAAGAAAGTAGACATAGAAATTGCAGAGGTTATAGTGGGAGCTATTCTGGGACCCGGTGGTCGTGCCCTCATTGAGATTCAGCACTTAAGTGGCGCCAACATACAAATCTCTAAGAAGGGCATGTTCGCCCCTGGTACCAGGAACCGCATAGTGACTATCACGGGTTATCCTAATGCAATCAACACTGCTCAGTACTTGATCGAGCAGAGGATCAGTGAAGAGGAGGCGAAACGAGCGCGTCAGAATGCCATCGCCAGTATGATCCATTGATTTCAAGTATAGCACTCTTGTTCATCGCCATTATTGAGCTCCGTTGTTCACCTCTTCATATCTTGAGAAAGGAGACACGCCCGGCCACGACGGTTTTTCCTCTACTCCTTTTTGACACTCCCCCCCTACACACACATACACACATACACACACATACATACATATATATATATACACAGATACTCACACACTTCGTCCATCGCCAATTTACCGCCCATTGTCATCTATCGCGCTGCGTTGTCACTATAGCGCTTACATTGTCGCATCATTTACGTTTATACATTCATCATGGCTCGTCAACATTTATCTATTTTTTAAGATAATAATAGTGTGTGTGCGTGTATGTGTGTATGCGTGCGCGCGCGTGCACACACACACACACACACACACACATTAATATTATGTATGTTGTACAATATATAACTACTACGATTGTTCTGTGATACACACCTTACGGGGCTTTATCACACACGACACGCGCGTACTGCATCAGAGTTGCCACAAGTAACTAATTGTTATTGTTTATAGCGTATTACCGTCGAGGTAATCCACTATATTGTTATAGGATTTGGAATATATGATTATGACATCTCTTTTAGCCATGCGTTCACATCATACTACTACACGACACCCGGCTTCTTTTCAGACAGACTTTTGTCTGGATAATCACATCCCCAGTTTTTACGAGTTCAACGTTATGCATTCACCGTAATTGAAAGAATCACCTCATACAGAACTTAACTTTAAAAATTGGCACTGTAAATCTGAATCAACCATCAATTGGTCAACTTAAATGTTGAAACAGGAATTCCATGATCAACATTCTCTGTATTGTCTTTCGAAATAGGAAATACTTAGACTAATAGATTTTTCTCGCTCTTTTGCAAAATATATTATTCACTTCGAATCATACCAAATACAGAGTAATATCTTGGCAAAACCAAAGAGTTTATAGATACAGGATGTTTCACAAGGAAAGAATTACGAGCGTTTAAGACTTAAAATTTTAGGCCTTAAAAATTTGTAAATCTTTTCTAAAACATCTCATAATGCAAAAATACCTTGGCTGGAAATTTAATACATATATATATTAAAAGTGTGAGAGCTATTCTATATATACAAGGTATTTGATATTGGATGTAACATCGTTCATGGATAGATAAAACGGACTGAACTGAATTGAAAAATTCTCTATTATTTTGCAATTTTCCCCAGTTTAGTTATTGAGATATTAATTTTCGAAAATTATATAAAATTGAATAATGCCCATTTTTATCATTGTAGATTAATTTTAATCTCATTTCAACTTGCTTTTTATCTTTTTCTAATTCTTTTAAAGGAAAAGATAAAGAATTCGTTGAACCAAAATTTACTACACATATCGATGGAAATGGGCATAAGTGCGTATTCATTTACAGGTCAAATGCGATTATGACCGCCCAGCGCTGGGAGATGTTTTCTTTCGCCGTTTGAGCGTGTTAAGGCTGTTTATAGTAAACAACTTCCCGTATGTCTAGCAACCTACAACGATGGACAGTTCTATCTCATAGTGCGCCTGCACATTTGATAATCTTTATTAATTAGTATCTCGGTAATTATTACAGACCTTTTCAATTTAGTTTACTCCATTCTATTTGTTCACACATGAATGGTGTTACACCTAATATCAAATACCTTTTATATATGTATATATAATATATATATATATAAATATATATTTATATATTTACAATATATTGCTGGCTGGCCCAGCTATATAAATATAACGGATAATTTCTTATTGCCAAGTTATATTTTTAATTCCAAAGTGTTTAAGTCTTAATCTCAGAACAAACCTCGATAAATTTTGTAGTGTTTAAAATAATATATTGTATATATAGAGCTATATGTAGATTTTAACATCGAATGTTATTTTTAAATCTCTTGAGTAGAGCTGAGTAGTCGCTACAGCCATATCGTGACGTCATAAGCAAAAAATGACACATTGAAGTTTGTTGCACAGCATTCGTAAATAAAAAGAATTTGAATAAAAAAAATGAGATCGCTTCAAAGCACTTATAAAAGTTGATGGAACTTATTCTTACCTCCCCCGACAGTTAGTAAACAGTCGTAAAAGATACCTAAAGTAAAAAGACTACATATGAGCATTAACGTGTTTTTATGAATTATCAGCGGGGATAAGGATAGTTTTGGTCAATTTTTACAAGTGTTTTAACTTTTATAATTTTGTTTTTCTCAAATTCTCTTTACAAATAATATGCAAGATACCAAAGAAGATTAGATAGAGTGGAAGGTTTGCATCATATAATGACAAGAGTCATCTGTTGAGTCCGATTCACAATTATTGAATTACATATATAATTTCATTTTAATGTATGCAAGCAGAACAGAATATCAGGTATAACGAAATATTCGTGGCTGTGCAACTTTAGTGTAGATATATGAAAATGAGTAATCTTGAATCCTGTTCGATTTCATTAATTCTTTTGTCACTTAATATTGATAAATACAGCATCAGACTCGAAGCGCTGATAGTAGTATATGTGTGTTCCTATAATAAGAGTTAGGACAAACAGCTGCCATTAATAGCCGAATTTTCATTGGTTACACTGGTTTTGTTACATGTAAGTTGACTACTACTGTAGAGAATATAGACGAATTAGAAAATAAAAGACGCGTAAAGCATCTAGAGCAATAACTTCTATTTATTCATACGCCAACTAATTATATAAAAAACGATAATTTCTGCAATTTGAAATTCGCAGTTGGCTATTGTATATGGCAGATTTCGGCAATCAACCAAAAGATACGATCACATTATTCTAACTCTTATTATAGGAACATTATATACGTGAAAATAGATTACGTTTTCATAAGGGCCTTCCACTCTATCCAATTCTTTTTACAAGAAACAACATATTATTTCTCGTTTATGACTCAACGATCGTGGCGACTACTCAGGAGATTTTACGTATATTTCTAAGGATTAAAAATTTTTTTACATACGCTAGCATTTGTTCACTAAGATATGCAAATTTTTTGCACGTTATGTTAAATGACTTTTAGATAATAATCTGTTCCATTATTTATATAGAAACTTTTAGTCTAATTATTTCCTCTTCTAAGGCGATCGTCAGTTGACTGCGATTATTTATATACATATACAATATATATTTTTTTTTATTTTAGTTTCATTTAATCGGACTTGATATTGGAATTTATTATTACGTGCCTTTGGGAGAAAGTAGTGTGTATGGGCGTTTACTTTCTGGAAATGACGTAAACGCTTGTTCGTAAAATCCCTTTTGTAGGTCTTTTATTTATACACAAGCGCTTCTCGGTCGTTTTCCCTCATTATGTGCTTGACTTTTTACCGATGCAATTTCGTGTATTTTAATTGATATATTGAAGATATCGAATATTTGATCATATACGTTGATAAGAGAATTTTCTGTTAACTATTTTAATTATTCTCGAAAATCTCGATTACGTTAGTCACATCTCGTAATTTTGAGTTTCGTATGATAAAAGAAGCGTTTGTATGGAACGCTGGAAAATCTCCTTTTATATAACGAAATGTAAGCCAAACGAAAAATTATAATAAATCTTGAAGCTTTCTCATTGAGAAGTAAGCCGACAGGCCATTAGATGTATTGTATTAGGATCGGTTTAAAAATTTTTAGACAAATCTATCGCGTTTCCGCTGTTTGATCGAAGGAAAAGTTATCCACTACAAGAGGTTTTTATAATCATTCTTTCTGTGAGAATAGGACAAGTATAGGAAGGGATAATACGAGCTAGATAGTAATAAAAATGGATTTAGTTAAAATGATTATTGAAATGTTAGCTATGTAGCGTTAAATAAAATATAAAACTGTATATGAGTGTGCGTGCGTGCGTGCGTGCGTGCGTGCGCATACATTTATACAATATATACACATAAGCACACATACAGGGTGTCTGATAAGTTCGATTCAGTTTAGTCTGCTCTACCTGGGGCTGTATTCTGTACACACTTGTTGATAGTTGTCAATATCGTTATGTTGTTGCGCAGCCTTTTTACCATACAAAATATCTACGCAATGATATATAACGACTCCAATTATCGATAGACGTATACAGAATAGCACCCTTGTACACGAGCACTTCACCAAACTTACAGGATACTCTGCATATATGTATACATACACATACACAGATATATACACAAACTTCAGAAGTTGGTGACATTGGCTCATCGTTCTTTAAACATTGACTTGTATATTTATAAATATTACATAACGAGAATAATTATATAAATAATATATTATACAGAGATGCATACACAACACACACACACATACATATATATATACATACATACATATATATAGAGAGATATATATATATATATAGAAGATAGATATATTATAGATTATTACAAAAAGAAAAAAGTTAAATAAATTATAACATGTATACGTATGTATATATATATAAATATATATAACAAATATATATATATATAAAATATATATGAAACAAATATAATATATAAAAACATTTATATATATATAGAATGTGAAATAATATTATAAAAGATTGTTGACAAAATATTTGCGTCCGCAAAGAGAGGAAAACAAGTTTATGTTTATCCATAAATTCTATGTGAACTATTTTCAATTAAACTTCACTGTGTTGCCCAATTACATTAAAAAGTCATCAAAATATAATAAAATAATTAACTAAGTTGCTGTTGACAGATCGATTCTAAAGTTTTAAAAAAGCATAACTGTAAATTAATAGCATTAATTTAATTTATGGATTAGTGTGTTCTAATGGCCTTTGTGCTATTAACGTTAACGGCAGCATAATATATATACATATATTTCATTACATATTGATTAATATATTATATAATAATATAATCATTATTATACAATACAATCATTATTATATAATAATATAATCATTGTCACATACATTTTCTGATTATCATATTAGATTAGCTATCATTAATTGTCATCGAATTAAAAAATCTTTAATTATAGTTGGCTACGAATATTATCTGGCTGATTGCCAGTAGGCGAACGATGTTGCTAAATTTGTCGCATAATACAGAGTCGAGCGCGTGAAAGAAAGAAAAGAGAGGCATTTGTCATTTAAATTGGCCATTAATCGTTTATCGCTCGCGGACGCTTATTATAGGACACTAATACAGTTCCACATTGCTGCTACTACAAATATGTACGTTACCTATTAGATTTAATATTATTTATTTGTCCTTCATATTCACGATTATACGTTATTTATCATTTTATTTATTTGCAGACAGACGCGTCGAATTGTGAAGCTATTGTCCAAGGATCGGTATCTTTATTTTATATT